AGATATTTAGAGTGTAACACGGTAAAAAAAAACTCAAAAAATCCTAAAATTTGATTTTAAAATTTTCCAAATTTTTTTGTTTGTATAAAAATATTTTTTTATATCAACTTCAGATTTGTATTTAGCAACCTCAATAACCCACTAGTAATAAGTTGCAAAAATATTTGACAGGTTTTTTAAAATTAATCATTTACATACAACATAAAAATGTACCGGGTATGTTTTTGAGTTATTTACCGTGACACACCCTAAAATCATGTCGGACAAAATTTTTTTATTAAGTAGATCACATAAGAGAATGAAATGAGAAAATACATAAAAATGTCACTTTAATAGAACTAGAAAATTTTTTTTTTGAAAATTTCAAAAAATTTTCATTTTAAAATTTTCAAAAAAAAAATATTTTTAAAATTTTTTGAAAAAAAAATTTGAAATTTTTTTTTGGAATCACTTTAATTGTCTTTTCAACATATTCAAAGTTGATTAAAATGCATACAGTAGTTTTTGAGAATAATGCGTTTTTCGATTTTTTTCCTCTCCATAAGTTCCAAAAAACTCAAAATTTTGAGTTAAAAATTTCCAAAAGTTATTTTTAAGTGGGTAGGAATGAATGGGAAAAATATATTCGGGTCACTTTTTCCATACTTATTTGGCTATACCCTATCACATGAAATTGCCCATATGTATATATGTGCATTACCGTACGTGGCAAATAGCATGACCATGGTTTTTGACATTTTACTCAAAAACTATATTTTTAAAAAATTTGGAAAAAAAATATGTTAAAGGGGACATTATAAGGTACTTTTTACAACAAAAGAGAAAGTGGTCACTTCAAAAAATAACCCTAAAAAAAAATTTTGAAAATTTCAAAAATTTTTTTCAAAAATTTTTTTTGAAAAAAAAATTTTGATTTTTTTTTTCTAAAATCGTCTTATCTATATTTACAACCTCTTAAAATTTCATTAAAATCGGTTCAGTAGTTTTCGAGAAAAATAAGTTTTTTGATTTTGCTTTCCCCCTCCATAACTCCCCCAAAAAAGCGAATTTTGAGTTCAAAATTGCAGAAAGTTATAGTCATATGGATAGTAATATATAGGCCAAATTTGAGAAAAATAGATGCGGGGGCAGTTTTTGCACACTTAACCCCCTAAGCCCTTTATAATCTTTATATACATAATTATATTTTCTTTTAGGCTAGGAGGAGTTATAACACATCATGAAGATCACTATATGGCAAGATGCAAAAGATTAAATGGTAGGTGGGAATTATATAACGACTGTAGTACAAAAGTAACTTATTGCGACAGAAAAGGAGCAGAATTGCCAGCAGCAGCAATTTATATTAAAAGCGAACAATAATGATTTAATAAATAATTAATACACTGAAAAAAGTTGTCAAGCCCAGAAAAATATAGCCACACCAGTAGTGTTCGCTTATATTACATTATTACATTTGATTATATTTTATATAAAAATATAAGTACACTCCAACGCCGGTTCAGCGGACTGTGTTGGGAAGTCTACCATTAAAGTTCGCAATATTTTTACAACATATAAAATTATATTTCAATGTTAATGTACAGTTCCTTAAAGTATATATTTAAAAAATTGTTTGCAATACAAATTCAGTAAGAATTAAAGCAATCGACAAATTCTTACTATAAAGTATTATAATGTTAATGCATATTTACTGAAAAATATACTTATAAAACAAAACTGGTGATATTACCATAAGAGAAACATTAAAGAACATAAGGAAATATTTACAAAACTTCATTGTTTAACGCTCAAATTAGCTAAACTAGATAAATATAATTAAAATATGGCTTTCTAATAACTTGATTACAATAAGGTACATATATTGTAATGTTAATGTATATTTACTAAATTTAATTTTAACTAAATTTTTGTTTAAATAATTTAATAGCATATATAAAACAACTTTATTATGAACATCGACTCTATACTATAAAAATGTTTAGAATTCGTAGAAGGATAACAATGTAAAACTAAAATTGACCAAAAAGCAATTAGAATTAAAATTACCTATAATTAAAAATAGTAATATTTCATTGTGAGTTATACTAACAATAAAGATAATATTGTTTTATAAAGTGAGAATAGATACAAAAAATGATAGGATCAGAATATACTTAGAATAAAATATAATTTAAATTACAAAAATTATATGCCATTCATCATAGGATATAAGCTATTACGAATAAATTATTTAAATAAATATTCATTACAAAAAATACATTATTCTTTTCCAAAAAATCATAAATAGAAATCATCAGCATAAGCCAAGAATTAGAGAGAAAAAAGAATTTTTTATGCACAACAATTTTAAAAATAGCACTCAGGAAAATAATTTTTTTTTGAAAAAATTGTTTATTTATTTATGAATTGTTTATTAACAATCGTTGAATTTTTACTACCAATCATCAGCATAAGTTAAGAATTAGAGGGAAAAAAGAATTTTTGATGCACAACAATTTTTAAGCTAGCACTCAGGAAAATAATTTTTTTTTTTGTAAAAATTGTTTATTTATTTATTAATTGTTTATTAACAATCGTTGAATTTTTACTACCAATCATCAGCATAAGTTTAGAATTAGAGGGAAAAAAGAATTTTTGATGCACAACAATTTTTAAGCTAGCACGCAGGAAATAAATTTTTTTTTTTGTAAAAATTGTTCATTTATTTATGAATTGTTTATTAACAATCGTTCAATTTTTACTACCAATCATCAGCATAAGTTTAGAATTAGAGGGAAAAAAGAATTTTTGATGCACAACAATTTTTAAGCTAGCACGCAGGAAATAAATTTTTTTTTTTTGTAAAAATTGTTCATTTATTTATGAATTGTTTATTAACAATCGTTCAATTTTTACTACCAATCATCAGCATAAGTTTAGAATTAGAGGGAAAAAAGAAGTTTTGATGCACAACAATTTTTAAGCTAGCACTCAGGAAAATAATTTTTTTTTGAAAAAATTGTTTATTTATTTATGAATTGTTTATTAACAATCGTTGAATTTTTACTACCAATCATCAGCATAAGTTAATAATTAGAGGGAAAAAAGAATTTTTGATGCACAACAATTTTTAAGCTAGCACGCAGGAAATAAATTTTTTTTTTTGTAAAAATTGTTTATTTATTTATTAATTGTTTATTAACAATCGTTGAATTTTTACTACCAATCATCAGCATAAGTTAAGAATTAGAGGGAAAAAAGAATTTTTGATGCACAACAATTTTTAAGCTAGCACGCAGGAAATAATTTTTTTTTTTTGTAAAAATTGTTTATTTATTTATGAATTGTTTATTAACAATCGTTGAATTTTTACTACCAATCATCAGCATAAGTTAAGAATTAGAGGAAAAAAAGAATTTTTGACGCACAACAATTTTTAAGCTAGCACGCAGGAAATAAATTTTTTTTTTTGTAAAAATTGTTTATTTATTTATGAATTGTTTATTAACAATCGTTCAATTTTTACTACCAATCATCAGCATAAGTGAAGAATTAGAGGGAAAAAAGAATTTTTGATGCACAACAATTTTTAAGCTAGCACGCAGGAAATAAATTTTTTTTTTTGTAAAAATTGTTTATTTATTTATGAATTGTTTATTAACAATCGTTGAATTTTTACTACCAATCATCAGCATAAGTTAAGAATTAGAGGAAAAAAAGAATTTTTGACGCACAACAATTTTTAAGCTAGCACTCAGGAAAATAATTTTTTTTTTTGTAAAAATTGTTTATTTATTTATTAATTGTTTATTAACAATCGTTGAACTTTTACTACCAATCATAAGCATAAGTTTAGAATTAGAGGGAAAAAAGAATTTTTGATGCACAACAATTTTTAAGCTAGCACTCAGGAAAATAATTTTTTTTTGAAAAAATTGTTTATTTATTTATGAATTGTTTATTAACAATCGTTTAATTTTTACTACCAATCATCAGCATAAGTTAATAATTAGAGGGAAAAAAGAATTTTTGATGCACAACAATTTTTAAGCTAGCACGCAGGAAATAAATTTTTTTTTTTTGTAAAAATTGTTTATTTATTAATGAATTGTTTATTAACAATCGTTTAATATTCAATACCAATCATAAGCATAAGCTAAGAATTAGAGGGAAAAAAGAATTTCTCATGCTCAACAATTTTTAAGCTAGCACTCAGGAAAATAATTTTTTTTTTTGTAAAAATTGTTTATTTATTTATGAATTGTTTATTAACAATCGTTTAATATTCAATACCAATCATAAGCATAAGCTAAGAATTAGAGGGAAAAAAGAATTTCTCATGCACAACAATTTTTAAGCTAGCAGGCAGGAAATAAATTTTTTTTTTTGTAAAAATTGTTTATTTATTTATGAATTGTTTATTAACAATCGTTGAATTTTTACTACCAATCATCAGCATGAGTTTAGAATTAGAGGGAAAAAAGAATTTTTGATGCACAACAATTTTTAAGCTAGCACTCAGGAAAATAATTTTTTTTTTTGTAAAAATTGTTTATTTATTTATGAATTGTTTATTAACAATCGTTGAACTCTTACTACCAATCATAAGCGTAAGCTAAGAATTAGAGGGAAAAAAGAATTTTTGATGCACAACAATTTTTAAGCTAGCACTCAGGAAAATAATTTTTTTTTTTGTAAAAATTGTTTATTTATTTATTAATTGTTTATTAACAATCGTTGAACTTTTACTACCAATCATAAGCATAAGTTTAGAATTAGAGGGAAAAAAGAATTTTTGATGCACAACAATTTTTAAGCTAGCACGCAGGAAATAAATTTTTTTTTTTGTAAAAATTGTTTATTTATTTATGAATTGTTTATTAACAATCGTTGAATTTTTACTACCAATCATCAGCATAAGTTTAGAATTAGAGGGAAAAAAGAATTTTTGATGCACAACAATTTTTAAGCTAGCACGCAGGAAATAAATTTTTTTTTTTTGTAAAAATTGTTTATTTATTAATGAATTGTTTATTAACAATCGTTTAATATTCAATACCAATCATCATCATAAGGTTAGAATTAGAGGGAAAAAAGAATTTTTGATGCACAACAATTCTTAAGCAAACGCGCAGGGAAGTAAATTATTTATTTAAAAATTCTTTGTTTATTTAAAAATTAAGTTAATAATTAAGTAACATTTATTTATTAAGTAGAAGGTATTATTATTATTATTTTGATTAAATTAAATAATTTTGTCGTCGTACTAAAAGACATACTTATATAGTTTGAATTTCCCTGTTGATAAACATGGCCGACCGTTGTGCGCATGCGCAGTATTGTGTAGCACGGGTAGCACGTTACTCTGTGTATTATATTTTGTTAATTTTTTTTAATGTTATATTTTCTGCAGTTTGTATTACCAAAAGTCAGGAAGTAGTTACCAATCACTACCAAACGACTACCAAACGGTTTCCAGTTTTTATTTTACAAAAAATTGTATTTGCAGTGCTATCGTGAAATTAGCACGCCAAACTTAAAACTTAAATAAATCTTTCAATTTTCGCTACCAAACAAAAAAAACTGACTACCATACACTACCATACGATTACCAAACGAATTCAATTAATTAAATATTAATTTTCTCTAGTTGTTGTGCCAACTTCACGCCGCTAGTTTTGATGGATCACAGCACAGTAAGTTTCGCATGGCTTACCATTAATTTAGTTGCCTATCAGTATCACAGTGAAATTAATAGTGTTATAAATATAAAACGAAAAATTCGGTCTCATATCTCTCTCGATGTACACTTCCGGAGTGCAACATCCTCTGTTGATTTTGTTTAAAAATGGAATAAATGGAGAATTGACAATTATACACTGGAACTCCTATCGGGCGGACACCTATGGAGCGAAAACAGTGGGTAAAGAAAAGGGACGAGGGAGGAAGGGAGTAATTTTTTGCTTAACGTAGGAGAGCGCGAACCCTTTAAAGAATCCACTATTGGCCCTTTTAATGAAACATTTTGCAATTACATACTCCGAAAAACTATATTATATGTACATATATGTACACAAAATGTACGTGCTAAAATTGCATTTTTTGGTATGAAAAAGTAAAAATTGATTTAGCACTTCATTTTTTGGAAAAATAAAATTATTTTGACGTTTTTGTTTTTGAAATGAATTATATTGATATTCTTGCAAAAACTGTCAAATAGTTCGTATAGTTCGTACCGCCTGTCATGTTTGTTTTTTTCGTCAAGATGATTGGAGATAATCTCATAATTCGACCGCGTGTCCGTCCAGCATGAGTTCCATTGTATTTCGACAAATGTCACACGCACGAACGGTAAGTATATTATTATTAAAAATTGTATTTATAGGTTTGATATTTTGTCACTAATTTTTTATTTTTAAATTGTACGTAAGTATTTAATTCTGTTGTCACTTTTTTCAATCATTTTTATTTTGTTTCGCTTTTTTTTTTATTTTAAAATAATCTTTTCAATATTTTCACCTATAAAAACTGATTGCACTCACTCTAATCACTATTTTCTACACAAAAAGCTCAGAAAATAATTAAAAAATATTTTTTTCTTACCGTCTCTTAATTAAAAAAATTTCACCATTTTGAATCAAAATCATCTTTAAAAGAATTAAAACAAATTGAAAAGAATTTTAAAGAATTTCAATTTTCAACTGTTTATTTTTTTGTAAATGACACATTTTAGTTGATTTTAGTATTAATTTTTTATAAAATTGTTTAATAATTAATAGATTTTTCATAATAACTATTAACAATATTTTTATATAATTAGTTCCGCATTAGTTAAAACAATATTATTAAAATGTATTTAACCGAAAAAGATTACGAGCATTAGGTTGACAATATGTTATTAATAGACAATAAAGAAAAGGAGAATTTTTTTTTCAAAAATATCTATATATATATTTAGTACAGTACACATAGTGACAAAGTTATTTTTTATTTTTCCTCTTCGAAAAATAGGGTTTTTATTTTATTCAAACAGAAAAATTTTCAATAGAGAAAATACTTGAAAGTTTGTAAATAGTTTATATAATAAAGTTTTTTTATAATAAATTAATTACATGATAAGTAAATAATATTGTAATTTTCAAAATATGAAAATGTGTAAATTAATAATAATTAATTAACTAATAATAAATAAATAAATTTTTATTTATTAATATTTAATATTAGTAGGTATTATTAATTAATTAATGTTTATTTAACTTAATTTGTTTATTTAGATTAAAATTATTTTTATTATTTTATTAAGACTTTTGCCGATTTTTGGTGAAAATGTTTTGAAATAAAAATTAAATTTTAATTATTTATTTGAAATTCTATTGAAGCAAATATATATAAATGAGTTTAATAATATTGGATAATTGAATTAATTTGCAGATGGATCGGGTGCAGTTGCTTCCTATGGAACTTCCATCAGCCAATAGTATTAATTCATCTGGCAGTAAAGGAAAGGGTTCATTCTTAAGACGACTAACCTTCGGATTTATAATACTGGCCGTTTTAGGTCTTTTATACGTTCCAGCATATCATTCGGTCCAAAATCCTCTATTAGGTGAGACTCCAACTCCATGGCTTCTAGGTGGTACGCACTTCGTAGCATCAATAGGTATGCATTTTAATTTAACACTGCTCCATTTACTTCATTTTTTATGCAAAAAAATTTATCACTTAATTTAAATTAGTAAACCAATTTACTAATTCAAATTTAGAGAATGGAAAAACTATATTAACTATACTATAAATTTTTTGCTGTTTTGGTTTACAAAAATATTTTTTGCAAAAACTTAAAAACCACGAATTTTGCTTGAATAATTTTTCACTTTTTAGAAATATTTTAATTTCAGAAGCTTTTAGAATAAATTTTTTGAAAAATTTCAATTGCTTTGAAGATACCTATTAATAATAATTGAAAATATGTAGAAAACTATATAAGTTTTAAAAGTTTTTAATTAAATTGAATTCTTTTCTAATTTTAAATATTCTTAGAGAATTTTAATTAAAAAATTAAAATTCTAATTCTAAAATATTAAAGAAATTTTCAATATTTGAAATTAATTTAAAACAAATTTTTTGTTAATAAATTATCAAATTAATCAAAATTACATGAAATTGAATTGAAAATAATTACACAAGTCTCGCTTGATCCACTTCCCAATAAAGTGTCTGATGAATTTATTGTCTGTTACTTCATATGACTATCTGATAGTTAAAGTTAACTGAGATTAGGATCAATTGGGGCTAAATTTGTTTAAAAAATTTCATTACAATTTAAAAAAAATTGAATTTCAAAGAATTTCCATTTGATAATGGTTCAATAATTAATTAATAAAAGGACTTATAATCGATTGTAATCATATTTTTATTAGTGTAAAATGCATTAAAGTCTCCGAACTACATCAAAAATAATTTCTTATTCTAAATTTTACTTTTTAATGAATTAAATTCATTTCGAAAGAGTTACGATACAAATTTTTATTAATTAGTTAATTTTAAAAAGACATTTTTTTCATATCAATTTTTTATTATTAATTATGTTTAAAAATTTTTAATTTAAAAATTGTATTTTAAAATTGAAGTTTCGAAAAATTTTATTTAAAATTCTAAAGAATTTGTTTTTTCAATATTTTTTTAAATTAATTGAATTTTTATTGAAATTTTTTAAAATAATTGAAATTTTCTAAATTTCCTAATATTTATTAAAAATAATTGAATTTTTTAAGAATTCAATTTCAATTTTTGAAAATTGAAAGAAGTTTGACCCAAGTCTAATTTTATTTGTAACGTTTTAACGTTACTGACTTTATTTTTAAAATAGGTAGACAAACGTTAAGTTTTCAATTAACTTTTTGCTTCTAAATATTTTTTTTAATAATTGAACTTTCTAAAAAATAATTAAAAATATTTAATGTAGGGAAGAATTTTAATTAAAAGTTTGAATAATTTTACAATTAGAAATATTCAAAGATAATTCTATTTGAAATATTTTTTTGTCTCTCTAATCATTTTTAGAGTAAACCAGAATATTTTTTAGGGTGAGTTAGAAAATAAAAAAAAGAGTAGTTTAAGGGAATTTTTTCCATTTTTTCAGCTCAATTACACGGATGGGGAATCAACTCATCACGCGATGTGGGAATATATATTTATCCTGAAAATAAAACAACACTTTTAAGTCCATTAGATCTTTGCTCACCTGCTCCATTTTTACTTATTGTTGTTTGTTCGGCTGTTTCTAATGAAAAAGCAAGGTTAGCAATTAGAGAAACGTGGGCTAATAAATATCATTTAGAGATGACATATAATTCTACAGTTAAAGTAGTATTTATTCTAGGACAAAGTGACAACGAGACTCTAAACGTATGTTTTGTTACAGTTTCTCTTCTTTTTTTCTTTTTTTTTTAATTGTCATTTTATCGATGGAAATACTAAAATATGTACATTTTTCTTTTGCAGAATTCAGTGGCTGAGGAAAGCGAAAAGTACAATGACATTATTCAAGAGAGATTTCACGATACGTACAATAATTTAACATTGAAATCTGTCGTTCTCTTAAAATGGGTCACCAGTAATTGCGAAACTTCGAAATATCTTATGAAAACCGATGACGATATGTTTATCAATATTCCAAAACTTTTGGAAACATTAAACGCCAGACCGAAGAGTAATGGAACTCTTATCGGTTGTTTGATTTGTGGAGCTAAACCAATATCGGATCCGAAAAATAAATGGTAGGAATTAAACTTCAGTTTTTCCAGTTATTGATTATTTTGTACTTTTCGTGTATTTCTAATTAGATTTTAATTATTATTAATTTAATATTTATATTTATATTACTATTACTATTACTAACAGGCTTCGCACTCATCTACTAAAATCTATTATTTACTACTTTTTTTTACGATCGGCTGCTATTTTGATACTTTTCTTAGATTTGTGTCACTAAAAGCTACTTTTTTCTTATTTTTTTGAAAATTTGCACTACTTTAAATTTAAATCCGCTAATTGTTGAAATAAAATAATTAATAATAATTTTCTTTATAATCATAAATTCTGTAATTTATTATTCAATTATTTACATAGGTATAAATAATTATTTTCATATAATAAATAATGAGATTCTTTGCCGGAATTCAATTATTTTCATTATCAACTATTTTAATAAAATTTCTCAAAAGAATTCAATTATTTAAACAAATTTAAAAAAAAAATTTTTTTGTAAAAATTCAATTATTTTCCTAAATAATAAAATTTTCACAGGAATTCAATTATTTTCACAAACAAAAAATTTCTTCTCAGAAATTCAATTATCTTTAGAAATAATAAAATTTTTTTCAGGAATTCAATTATTTTTATAAATTAGAATTTTTCTCAAGAATTCAATTATTTTCAATATCTATTTTATACAATTTTCTCGAAACAATTTAATTATTTAGACAAATTTTGAAAATATTATTAAAAAAAATCGATTATTATTTTTAATAATTTTGATAAAATTTCTTTATTTGAATTCAAATATTTTGAATACAAAAAATTTTTTCAATTATTTTCATAAACAATCAAATTTTTCGCAGGATTGCAATCATTTTCCTTACAATTTTAATTGTACTCCTTGAAAAATTCATTTACATATTTGCATTACAAGTTTAGTTAAATTCTTTAAAAGTGTTAAATTTATTTCAAAAATTGTACATTTTTTTAAAGAGTTCAATTATTTTTATAAATAATAAAATTCTTCACAGAAAATTTAATTATTTTCACAAATAATAAAATTTTTGATAAATTGCAATTATTTTAACAAACAATAAAATTCTTCGAAGGATTTCAATTATTTTCAAAAATAATAAAATTCTTCAAAAGAATTTAATATTATTCTCAGAAAGTTTAACAAAAAATCTTCAAAAAATTAAATTATTTTTAAAAATTTTATTAAAGTTCTTCAAAAGAATATTCATATATTTTAATAAATAATAAAATTCTTTAGGAGAATTTAATTTTAAAATTTAAGAAATTCAAATAATAATTATTAAAAAAATTTAAATAATTTTATTTTCAAATAATTTTTTAATAAGAATTGATTTAAAAATAATTTCACTTCAACAAAAAATTGAAAAGAATTGGAAATTTTGTCAAATTTCATTAAAATAAATTTTATATTTTAAAGAATTTTACTTTTTTACTTTTAAAAATTTATTTTTTTAAGAATTATAAACTAAAATTTTGGAAAATAAGTGAATTTTAGAGAAATTAAGAATTAAAACTATTACCAGAAAAAGAAGAAAAGTTAATATTTTTAATGGAAATTCAATAAATGTTCAAAAATTTTTTGAAATGATTGTTAAAATTTCAATTATCTTCATAAATAATAAAATTCTTCGCAGAAATTCAATTATCTTCAAAAATTTTAATAAAATTAGCGAAATTTTAATTTTTTCAAAAATTTTTCTGAATTCATTAATTTTCAAAATTTTTATAAAATTTTCCGAAAGAATTCAATTATTTAAAAAAAATGTTAATAAAATTCTTCGCAAACATTTAATTATTTTTATGAATAATAAAAATTTCACAGTAATTCAATTATTTACAAATTTTTAAATAAATTTCTTCGCAATACGTAGAAATTTCAATTATTTTGAATGCAATTTAAATCCAATTATTATTCACTGAAATTCAATTTTTTTTTTTTTAATTTTTTTAATTTTAATAATTTAAAAAAATTCTCTTTAAAATTTAAATTATTTTCATAAATAACAAAATTCATCTCTGAATTTCAATTATTTTTAATAAAATTTTAATCGAATTCCTCGAAAAACGTGTAATTATTCTTAAAAATGTAGAAATAATTGAATTTTGAGAAGGTTTCAAATTAAAATCTTTGAAAATCTGAACTTTTCATACTCAATAATAATTTAATAACAATTTTGTAGAATTAATTTTTTTGAGAAAGTTTAATTGAATTTTTTTGAAATTATTTCAAGTTTTTTTTTTCTAATATAAATATTGAATTGAAGAATTTTCGAATAATCGATGAAATTTTGTAAAATTGAATTGTAAACAAGTGAATTTGAAAATTCTCAAAGAACTTTTTCAAAAATTATTAATAATAATTGATTTAAAGAAGAATTTTAGTTGAAAATTGTAGAAAATAGTAATTGAATTGAAATTATGAAAATAATTTTCAAGAAGTTACAGTAACAATATTCTTATAATAGAAAATAATGATCTTATCACTCGGTCATTTTTAATTATTATGAAACATGAAGATATTGATTGCTCCGAGTCGAAGACTGGGAGTGATCAATTTCTTTATGTTTTATAATAAAAATATTCTTATAAGTTGTTGAATTTGAAATTTTTGAAGAATTTTAATTCCTATAGAAAAATAATAATTATTAAATATTTATTTAAAAAATGAATTTATATTGGTTTTCGAATAATTTTACAATTGAATAAAATCGTAAATAAATGTGATAGAACATTTTTTAGAGTATCTAATAATTTTTATAGTGAGAACATTTTTTAGATATTGATATTGATCTAATAATTTTTACACTGAATCAGAATATTCTTTAGGGTCAGAGAAAAGCAAAATTAAATTTTTGTGACAACTTTGTTAATATTACCTACTATTAATTAATTGATTGCAATTCTAATATAACGAAATGGAAATTTTTCGATAGGTACATGCCGAAATATATGTACTCGGAGAAGGCGTATCCAAATTATTTATCAGGTACGGCATACGTAATGAGCCTGGATGTTGCGGCGAGAATTTATAAGGAAGCATTGAGAACGCCAATTCTTCATCTTGAAGATGTTTACATTACGGGAGTGTGTGCGAAACGGGCAAAATTACGGCCTGTTAATCATCCTGGTTTTAGTTACGTTCAGAGAAAATTAGAGACATGTGAACTCAAACGTATTATCACAGCTCACAAAGTAAATTCTGTCAATATGTACAACGTTTGGAGTAAAGTTACTGACTCAAATATCACCTGCAATGCAACCAACAATAGTTCCCAGGAGAAAAAGGTGACTGTAATTAAAAGCAAAGAGCATATAAACTCCTTTATCATCAAAAAGAAATTGAATTACGTTTTCTAAGAAAGAATTAATACAAAAAAAATTAATATGAAGAAGAATGAATATAAAAACGAATGAATACAAAATAATAAAATGGAAAAGGGAAAAATCAATACAAAGCAAAAGAAAAAAAATTTGTTAGTCTTCGTTCCAGTGAATATAACGCATAACGAAAAAGTGAAGGTGATATAGTTAAAAAAAAATAATAATTAAGTAGATTAGCAAAATTATCATGTGAAAGTCTTAAGAAGACTCCTCGTTCCAGAGAATTATCCACGACTGGTGATTTAATTTCACGAATCTTCGTATTATTTTATTATTAATTTTTAAAAATTCCAAAATAATTCGAAGATTCCTGATTAAATTGAGAATTTTCACTTTTTGAATAATAATCTCTAACACTTGTTACCTACGCGACCAAAATCAAAGTCAATACTCTGTTTGGTCCGCGAATTGTGAATAGGTCTTTGTTTTTTATATCCAAGACCGAAAAAATTGATAGAGAATTGTATTTTTCCATTTAGATTTATAATAGTTGTAAAGATTGTCAATCAGATCTCCCAAGTGTTGCTTTTTCATTTATCGATTAATATAGGGGAAAGAAAAAAATGAATAATTTCATTTATATTAAAAATAATCGATAAAAGTTTTTATTATTGCCGTAGTGCTGTGATATTTTTACAATTTTTAATTCATTTAAACTATATGAAGGCAAATAAGTGCTATTTTACTCTGATATTATTATTTTACCGACTGGAATTATTTTCAAAGTATATGTAAAAATCTTTATGTTCAAATAACGAATCTCAAAAAAAAATGAACAAACAAACTATCGATTGTGTGTGAGTGTGAGAAATAATTTATCCTTATAGTGGGTAATAATTGGCCTTTGAAATTGACAACAGAGGCGTTTATTATGTAATTAAAAAAAAAAGTAATTCTTTAAAGCACGAATTTTTTATAAATCTAAATAATGCGTATAAAAGCTATTGTAGAATTTTAACATATTTTTATAAAAATTTAAATATTTATCATTTGTGACATTCCAATTAAAATGATTATTGAATGTCGAATTTGTACTCGCATGAATGAAATTGAGAAATTTTTAATTATTGAAAAGTGAGAGGTGAAGATTTTTTAGTCAATGAGAAAATGTAAAGTGTTTAAAGAAGAATCTAAACTTTGACTTGAAATGTCAGAAAAAGGTTGTGCAATTTAAAAATGATGAAATGTTATAAGTGATCTGATTATTAATGTGCAAAGCGAAACGTTTAATGATCTTATTATTATTAATGCTAAATTAAAATTTGTTAATGATATTTTATTGTACAAATATGAATTTTATTTTTCTCTATTTCGAGTTGTAATCTCTATAATCGAGTCGTTGGATCTTAAAACAAGGGATAAATTTTTTGTTCACAGTTAACTTTTCAAAAATCAACTTAGAAAATTTGTAATTATTTTTTTTTTTGGGAAAATCAATATTTTTATATTTTTCTTTAGAAATTTTTTCTGTTTTAAGATCCAATGACTGTGTAAATATTATGTTGACATTTATTTGGTCACAAAATGAAAATATTTTGTCATGTTTAACAGACAAAAATTTGTAATTGTTATTTAGAGTGATTAATTTAAGTAACTTTGAGTGATTTTTTTTTTTGAGGGGGAAATTTTTCACAATTGAAAAATAGAGTGTTTCGCCTTATATTGAGGGAATTTAGCCCCAGGTCAAAATAATTGCGTCCTTATTGTTAAAAGAATAAAACGTCGTTCATCAACGAAATAGTGTCGATATTCAAAAGAATATTTTATTTAAAATTTTATTTTTTGTTTCTATTTTTATTCTCATGAATTTATTATTATTATTATTATTCTCAAAATGTAAAAAAAAAATTGTAATATTTTAATTTCACTATTTAGTAATAATTAGTATTATTAAAATATCCGAATATTTTTCAAAGTAGAATTAAAATCAAGTTTCGAACTTTTAAATGAAGGGAATATTTTTTTCAAAAATTGTACTCAAGTGGAAAATAAATATTTTTTTAGTTAAAAATTAGAAAGAACACAAAATAATTTTGTTTAATAAAATATAAATGAAAAAAAAAAATAAAAGAAAATTTTCATTCGTTTGAAAGTTCGAAACTTTAGATTTTAGAAACAAAATAACTGCAGAATTGAGAAGATATATTTATTAATTTACGTTTGTTCCTATCGACTCTTTAATAAGAGATACATTGCGAATGTGTGTGCGTCTTAAAAAAAATGCATTTCTTCAAATGTCAATGCGAATGAAATAGAAAAAAGATTTATTTTTAGAGTGTGTATTTTATGAAATAATTATTATCATGAAATAGAGTGACGTTTGAGATATCAAGCAGACACAATATTGAAAATCATACAAGACTAAATTAATAGGATAGGTAAATGTAATTTTTAAATAGTACGAGAATTTATCAACATTTTCGACTCTATAAAAATTGTATAAAAAGAACAAAAACAAAACAAATGTGTGTGAAGTTTTTAGAACAATGAGAGCTTTTTTTAAACCGCAAAATGCTTTAAAATTATTGCTTATAATATGAGAATAATGAATCCTGGCTAAAGTAAAAAAACATTCAGTTTCTGCAATTATAGGTATACATATGTATAAGAATTTAAACAGAGAATATCAAAACTAGAAAATTGTTTTTTTAATTTTAAATATTATCCTTTGAAATCCATGAAAAGGATTTTTAATTCCTTATATAAAAAAATGAATTCTACTTTTTTAAAGTATTTTAAATTGTGTACTTAAAGAAAAGAAATAAAAAAAAATCAGTTTAATTAAAAACTTGGTTTTTTGTATCATTGTGTACAATTATTGATAATTTAATAATTACATAATTAATTAATTAATTTTAATAATCGTTATATTCCGATTGTTAGCGGTTTTTAATTGACCTTTGTTTCTAAATTTTGATAATTTTGCATTTTTTGACAGAATTTTGTTTCTTTATGAAAATAAATAAATTATCACAAATTTTATCAAAATTTTTGAAAATAATTAAATTTTTTTAAAGAATTTTGAAAAAATTTTGAAAACAAATTTTTTTAAAGAATTTAATGGAAATAAAAGAAATTGTATTATTATAAAGAATTTTATGAAAATTTTCAAAAATAACTAAATTTTTTCAAATAGTTTTAATAAAATATTAAAAAATAATTTAATTTCTACAAAGAATTTGATTATTTATAAAAATAATTGAATTCTTTCAAAGACTGTCATTACTTATGAAAATAATTGAATTCTTATGAAGAATTTTACTATTTATGAAAATAATTGAATTCTTTCAAAGACTGTCATTATTTATGAAAATAATTGAATTCTTTCAAAGAATTTTACTATTTATGAAAATAATTGAATTCTTTTAAAGACTGTCATTATTTATGAAAATAATTGAATTCTTTCAAAGAATTTTACTATTTATGAAAATAATTGAATTCTTTCAAAGACTGTCATTATTTATGAAAATAATTGAATTCTTTCAAAGAATTTTACTATTTATGAAAATAATTGAATTCTTTCAAAGACTGTCATTATTTATGAAAATAATTGAATTCTTTCAAAGAATTTTACTATTTATGAAAATAATTGAATTCTTTCAAAGACTGTCATTATTTATGAAAATAATTGAATTCTTTCAAAGAATTTTACTATTTATGAAAATAATTTAATTCTTTCGAAGAATTTAATTGAAATTGTATTAAAGTAATTGAATTCCTATAAAGAATTTTATTACAATTTTTGAAAATAATTGAATTTTATCAATTAATTTTTATTAAAATCTTTAAAAATAATTGAATTTATGCAAAGAATATTATTATTTATGAAAATAATTGAATTCTTTCGAAGAATTTTATTAAATTTTTTTTTAAATAATTGAATTCCTACGAACAATTTTATATTATCTATAAAAATAATTGAATTATTATAAAGAATTTTTTTAAAAATTTTTTTTAAATAATTAAATTCCTACGTAAAAAAGTTTATTTAAGTTTTTGAAAATTAATATATTCTTTCGAAAAATTTTCTTTAAATTTTTTAAATTAATTGAATTATTTCGAGGAATTTAATTGAATTTGTATTGAAAATAATTGAATTATTTCGATGAATTTTATTATTTACAGAAATAATTAAATTTTGAAATTAAATTATTTGAAAAATAATGGAATTTTTTCAAAGAATGGTTATTAAAATTTTAATAAATAATTGAATCCCTACCAAAAAAAATTATTATTTCTGAAGATAATTGAATTTCTGATAAGAAATTTTTTATTTTTGAAAATAATTGAATTCCTGTGAAAATTGTATTATTTAGGAAAATAATTGAATTATTATATAAAGAATTTTATTAAAATTTCTAAAAAATAACTGAATTTTACAATTTAGTTTTTATTAAAAAAAATTAAATTAAATTAAATAAATTTAATTTAATTAAAAGATTGAAAATTGAATTCCCTCGAAGAAATTTTATTAAATTTTTTAAAAATAATTGAATTCTTATGAAGAATTTTATTAAAATTTTTTTAAAAAATTGAATTCATGTGAAGAAATTTATTTAGATTGAAAATAATTGAATTATTTTAAAGAATTTTGTTAAAATTTTGGAAAATGATTTTTAAAATTTTTTTTCAAAGAATTTCATTAAAATTTCTAAAAATAATAATAATTAGTTAATAAGTGAATTTTTTAAATTTTGAATCTAAAATAATTCAAAAATTAAAGTTGATATTTGAAAATAAAAAATTTCCTAATTTTCACAATAATAAAAATAGTAAATATTATTATTATTATAATTATTAATAATAATATTTACTAGTTTTTCAATAATCAAATAATTGCCGCCAATTTATGTGTCGATAATATAGAATGCGACCATGAAAATGATAAAGGTCTAATTTACAAGTCACTTTTTCCATTAGGTCTGTCAATTTTTATTTGTAACCCATTGTTTCTGTAGTGTGTAATATAGTCATGTTAAATTGACAATTGTTAAAATCTAAAAGTGTTCATTGTTTATTTAATGCAATTGGTGGAAAATTAAAATTACATAAACAAGAATTAATAATGGCAAAATACACGTCACCAATATGCTGAGTTATAGAATTCCCTCGTCTAACCTCTGAAAAAGATTATATTTATTAACAATGATAAAGGCTATTTTGGTTTTTAATAATCATGGAAAGCCCCGTCTTTCAAAATTTTATCAATATTTTGTAAGTACTTTGATCATTTCACATTCTATTGTCAATTGGTAAAATTTTTTTCTTTCAAAATTTCTTTGGAAAAATTCGTCATAAAAATGTTGAAAATTTTGTTTCTACTATATATGGAAAAGAATAGAGAAAGTCTAAAAGAAAATTTATCATTTCTCTTGTTTTCTGTATAATTTATCGAAGATTGTTTAATTAAGTTTCCTTCACGTTTTGAAACCATAACCTTAATTTTTCTTCTGCTATTTATTTTCGTATAATTTAAATATAAGAACTTTGAAAATTTTCTTTTAGGAAAAATATAGTACTTTTCTATTTTGAAGAAATTTAGAAATGAGAGTGTTAAGTAATACTTTTTTTTAGAATGAGGATATGCAGCAACAAATTATAAAGGAAACATTCCAATTAGTTTCGAAGAGGGATGACAATGTGTGCAATTTCCTAGAAGGCGGTAGCCTAATCGGTGGATCGGATTATAAATTAATTTATCGACACTATGCAACTTTATATTTTGTTTTTTGTGTCGACAGTTCTGAGTCAGAGCTTGGAATTTTAGATTTGATTCAGGTTTTCGTCGAAACGTTGGATAAATGTTTTGAAAATGTCTGCGAACTTGATCTTATTTTTCATGTAGATAAAGTTCACTATATACTCAATGAATTAGTGATGGGCGGTATGGTTCTTGAAACAAACATGACAGAAATCCTCACGAGGATAGACGAGCAATCGAAATTAGAAAAACAAGAGGTAAATTACTCTAATAATCAAATTTGTCGATTAAGTTTATTTTTTTCGAAATTTGTTTATTATAAATTTCTGCTTGACTAGATCTTTTCTCTTTTTTATAAAAAATGAAACACTTCTTCCGCCACTTTAGAACTTAGATTTCATAGACTAACATAAATTTTAGGGGACTCGCAAAATACGTCGAGATTACTCGATTCATCCAGTTATCCTCGTAGGACCTTCTCCTTAACAAACTGTAGTGGTAGATAGTATGCAATTTTCTTTCTTTTCCTTTTTTGTAAATGCTTATTTCTTCTCATTTTTGTAAACACTCGTTCCTTACATTTTTTTTTTTTTTTTGCTGTTTTGCTTTTAACTTTGATTATTTCTATTTCGGTGAAGAATTAATCTCATTAAAAATTGGTTATTGGTAATATTGCTTTACAAGGAATTTTAATAATAAATTTATAAGTGACGCTTTATAAAGGGACCTGTCACGACTAGAATTTTGAGGTTATGATTATTAATTTTAAACTGGTCCGAGAGGATGAAAAGAGAATTAACTTTCAGTCGAAACGAAACTGATATATTTAAATTTTTTTTACACATTCCCGAGGAATAATTTTTGTTTTAAAAAATAAAATTGCTTGTTAATCGCAAAAAAAGGATTGTAAACATAACCTCAAATTTCTCGTTGCGATAGGTCCAGTTTACCGTGAGGCGTCAATTTTTAATATTAAAAAAGTATTTGGAAATTATCATTTTTTTATTTCATATAACCAGGCGGGAATAACTGCAGCTCCAGCAAGAGCAGTGTCAGCAATGAAAAATATGAATATCCATCAGCAAATAAAGGACATGAAATTACCGGATTTACCACAAGCGATCAAAGATCTAAAATTCTGACAAGCCGTCACGTCCCTAGCTCCGAGTTGACTGGGTTCTAATAATTTTAAATACAATAATGAAATCGTATTAAATTCCTTCATGAGGAGAACAAGAAAGTATATCCAAAACTGCGAATTTTTCCTGCAAACTCCTCACCGAGTTTCAAAAATTGAATCACGATATTGCTATTGAAAATTAATATATTTATACCACACGGCGAATCAGTAATTTAGAAAATACAGTTCTTTATGAAAATGTTTTTCTAAACAAAAAAAAAAAACAATTTTTCTCCAAGTTTGTCAGCTTAAGGGAAGAAATGGAAGAAATTTAGAAATAGAAGAAATTGATGAGAATTCAATGAGTTTGCATTGAGATTCGATCTGCTGAGCGTGTCCATTTTTTACCAGTATATTGTGCGAAAGTGTTCCTTGTGAATATATAAATATTAAATATCATTCCTTTCATTAGAGATTCCTTCTTGTGCACTATATTTCTGCTACACAGATTACTTTATTCTAATGTCTATACTTAGCTGGTGCAATTACAAATCAGATTTATTTCTCTATTAAACTCTGTCTTTATTTATCCTAACCTAACCAACAAAAAAAAGTTAAAAACCAAAAACTTTAAAAATTATATACAATTCTGATTTAATTTTCCCGCCCAATTTTATCGAACACGAACAGTCGATAAAAGGGATTCTTCTTCACCGACAATGTTTACAGAATCACAAACTACATGTGATAAAGTTTATCAAGTGCATTCTTTTCTGCGTAAAATTACAATTTTCCACCAGTTAAAAAATACATTTTTCCCTTTACTACCATCTCGCATACTTTTTAATACACTGTGATGTGCTTTTTATAAAAAATCAATCATGTTGTATCGAAAAATTTTAACGAAAGCGTTTTCTAACCTCACTTTCTCTCACCGGTCTTCCTCGTGCTGCAAATTGTCTCGTTCGTTTTCCGATAAATTCACATCGGACAATAATGATCTCCCTGAAGATTCAAAAGCTGCGGAAGTGTCAAAACTTCTCGAGGATGCGACAACTTTTAGCGATGCAAATGATCCAAATTGGGCGAAGAATCCCTATCCTGACACTGCACCGGTGAACTTGCAAAAAGAGCCGGAAGCACCGAAAGTTCTTCCAAATGATAATTCCATTATTCTATTCCCTGGACAGGGTACACTTAAGGTTGGCAGGATAAAAGCGTATTTACGTTTTCCACGAGTGAAAGAAATGTATGCGATAGCGAATGAAATTTTAAAGTATGATTTGAAAAAATTGTCATTGGAAGGACCACAGAAGGAATTGAATAAAACGGAATTTAATCAAGCAGCAACTGTTGTTGCGAGTTTAGCGGCATTGGAAAATTTAATCGAAGATCGGCCAAATGTTTTGGATAATTGCAGAGCTGTTGCTGGATATAGTGTTGGTGAATTTACAGCTTTAATTTTCTCGGGAGCAATAGATTATGAATCTGGAATTCGACTTGTTCAACATAGAGCACTGGCAATGGCAAATGCTGCTGAACGTTCGAAGCAAGGGATGATGTATGTTTATACAAAAGCCGGATCAAATATTTTTCAAGCTTGTAAGGATGCTGAATCATGGGCAAGAGATTTGGGAATTAGTGAACCTGTTTGTCGGTAATTATGAGAATTTTAATATAATATTAATAATTAAATAATCTATATTAATAATCATTGTACTCCGAATGTTTGTTGAAAGTTTGAAGAAATTCCAATTTAATATGTTTTGAAGAATAAATATAATAACAAAAATTAATAAAACAATATTACTTTGAATAGAAAATCATAATTAAAATAGGAAATTTAATTTAACATTTTAAAACTTAAAAATAGTTACTTATAAATTATTGTAGAAAAACTAATATTTATTAAAGTGCAAAAAAAATTAATAGTTAATGTTATAATTTTATTTAAGTTATAATTTCGAATCTGTAATAATTTAATTTTTGCAAAGAAATTTATTAACATTTTTGAAAATAATTGAATTCTTCTAAACAATGTTATCAAAATTATTGAAAATAAACGAATTCTTTTAAAGAATTTTATTAAAATTTTGAAAATAATTTAATTCTTCCGAAAAATTATAGATAACTTTTGAAAATAATTAAATTCTTTTCATGGATTTTATTTTTGAAAGGAATAAAATAGTTTCAAAGATTTCTATTAAAATTTTATTGAAAATAAGAAAAGTCCTGCGAAGAATTTTATTATTTCTTAAAATAATAAAATTTCCACGAAGAATTTTAGAAATATTTTTTAAAATAATTGAATTGTTTTGAAGAATTTTACAAAATTTTTTTGAAAATAATTAAATTCTTTCGAGGAATTAAATTCAATTGCATAGAAAATAATTGAATTCTTATAAAAAATTCCATTAAAATTCTTTAAAATAACTGAAATCTTTCAAAAAAATTGATTAAAAATTGAAAAATAATTGAATTCTTTCTATAAATTTTAATGAAATTGCATTGAAAATAATTGAATTCCGGCGAAGAATTTTATTACCATTTTTGTAAATAATTGCATAGTTTCGAAGAATTTTATTAACATTTTTGAAAATAATTTATTTCAAAGAATGTTATTATTTTTAAAGAGAATGAAATTCTTTCGAGGAATTGTATTGAAAATAATTAAAATTCTTATAAAGAATTTCATTAAAAATTTTGAATATTCTTTCGAAGAAATTTATTTAAAAAATTGTTAAATAATTGAATTCCTGCAAAAAATTTTATTATTTCTGAAAATAATTGAATCGTTTCTCAGAATTTTATCAAATTTTTTGAAATTAATTGAATTTTTTTGAAGAAAATTTTAATTCTCCTGAGGAATTTAGTTGAAATTGTATTGAAAATAATTGAATTTTTATAAAATATATTGTATCAAAATTTTTAAAACTAATTGAATTGTTAAAAATAATTTCTTGTAAAGTGTATTTAATTCCTGAAAATAATTCATTTTCTACAAAGAATTGTATTTATAGAAAAAATATTGAATTTTTCGTAGGATTTTTAGTATTGATGAAAATAATGAAATTCTCGTTAAGAATTTTATTATTTATGAAAATAATTTAATTCTTGCGAAGAATTTTATTAAAATTTTTTGAAAATAATCGACTTGTTTCAAAGAATTTTATTAATATTTTCGAAAATAATAATAATTACTCAGTTAATTAGTTAATAAATGAATTTTGTTAATTTTTGAATCGGAAATCATTCAAACATTGAAGTTGATAATTGGAAATAAAAAAATTCGAAATTGCCAAATAATAAATTAAGCACTGCGTAACATTTGCTAGTAAAATTTCTAAACTTTCATATTTTATTTTCATTTAATTATTTATTTTCCTTCTCTTTCAGAATTGCAATTTACTTACACACTCAAGGAAAAGTAATCGGCGGAAATGACGAAGCTCTTAATTTCTTAATGGAAAATAGCTCAAAATTGGGTCTGAAAAATGTAAAGAGAATTCCAGTTTCCGGTGCATTTCACACACCATTAATGGAACCAGCAATTAAACGTTTTAAACCAACTTTATTTAATACGATAATTGAAAAACCCCGAATAACAGTGTACTCTAATTGTAACGCCGAGTATTATCGCGAACCAGAAACAATAAGAAGACATTTAATAAAACATCTAGTGCAGCCTGTAAAATGGGAGCAAATTATCCATAAAATATATGGAAGATCACCAGGAAGTACTTTTCCAAGAACATTCGACGTTGGATCTGATGGAACGCTGAAAAATACACTGAAATTAATCAATTCCAAAGCCTGGGACTGGTGTTACTCTGTTTGACACATTTCTATTCTACTTAATGAACCAGTTGATTTATTTAGTAAGTAAACATTTATTTTCATTTTTTGTAACATTTATGATTCAACTGAAGACATTGAAAACAATTTGTAAATATACCAGTGTCTAGGAAGTTTGTACAAATGAAAAAAGTTTACTTTTTTAATAAGTTTTGTTTAGAAATTGTTTTTGTTTCAAAAATCCATGTTCTTAAGGTTTTAAACGTTCAAATGAATGAAATTTACTTTTTTCAAATTTAAATTTTACTGAAATAAAATATTGTTTCAGTAAAATTTAAATTGTGTCTCGTTATTAAAAAAATAATTTTTTAATTTGTCGATTAAAAAATATTGTTAACATTTTTTTTAAACAGAAATTTGAATAGAAGAATATTTTTTTCTTTTGAATGATAAACGTTGTGAACTTCACTGACTTCAGTGAATAATTTTGAAAAATATTTATATTGAAAAAAATATTTCGTTCATTTGAACTTTCAGAATTTTTCGAACATTTCGAAATGAAGATTTAATTTAAAGGTTGTAATACTTTTTTTTATTAAAAACTCATTAAAGAGCAAAAACAATAGCTGAGACTTGATAAAATATAATCATCATGAAGTTGAATTTGTATACAACATTTTGTACCAATTGCGCATTTGTGTAGCAAAATTATTAATAAAATAATATTAATATTAATTTATTAATATTTAATCTTATTGACATTGTATTATATTTTATTTCGCATTAATATTTTATTTCATATTAATATTTTATTCCAATCTATTAATATTAATAAATTAATATTAATCGTAAATTGTATAATTGTAAAAAAATGATCTCTATTATCACAAGCGGTTTTTATTGTTGTGCAAATTATTTGTATTTAACTAAAAGTTTTGTATAACGAAGCTTAAAGTTAAGTAAAAATTGGCATTCAACATTTGCTGGAAAAAAAAAATGTTTTTATAAATAATTACGGCGATACATTTTTTCTGATAATTAGAATAAAATTCTAAGTTTTTTCATAATTGCGTATTTACATTTATAGTTTATTAACAACTATTTAAAATTTTTCGTATATTCATTGCGCCTGATATTTATTTTAAAATATCGCGGAAAAATTTGTTGAGAAAGTATTTACGTCACTATATGTATTCTAACCGGATAATTCAAATCTTAAAAGTAATTTAAATACATAAATATATATTATTGAAAACCTGTTTGCAAGTAATCGATTAGTCATGACAAAACCATAAAAATTATCAATTATAATTTTTTTTTTTTTCCTTTTACAAGTTTTATGAAATTTTCAATTAAACCTCTGAAAAAGTTCAATTAAAAGGATTAAAAGCAATAAATAGAATTCTAAAAACTGAAATAAAATGTTAAAAAGGTTTAAAGTTCCAAACGTTCAAATGAACGAAATTTAAAATTCTTTCTTTAAATTCAAATTTTATTTGTAATAATATTGCGTCAAGTTTAAAAAGAATTACATATAAAGATTTTTAACATTTGTTTTCGTTATTGCTTTTTGAAAGCTAGCTTAATTTTTGAAAATATTTTTAATTACAAAAATATCGTTCAGTTGAACGTTCAGAATTCGTGGATTATGACATAAATCATAAATTAAAAATTTAAATAACTAATTCAATAAAATTAGATCACAATAAATATGTGAGTAAATATTAACTCTTTACTAGTCTGTAAAGCATTTTTTTTACGTTGGTGAAGTTTCACAACGTTTACAATCAACAATTTGAAGGAAAAATATTTCAATATTTAAATTTTTACATATTTTTGCATTTAAAATGCTTTTGCATAATTTTTTTGATCAGTAGTTTGAAAAAAAAATTTTAAATTTTATTGTTTTTGTCAAGGGAAATATTTTTTTTTCTTTCACTCGTTGATTATAAACTTCACCGACGTTTCTCTTTTAAATAAAAAAAATAAAATTATTTTAACGTTTTGCAACGATATTTACAAGAATGAAAATTTAATTAAAAAAATAAATAATACAAATAAAGTAAAAATTTGACAATTTGATTAAAAAGTAAAAAAATAATATTTAGTATTTTAATATTAATACAATTAAAAATAATATTCTAAGGATAAAAATCGTAGAATTAAATTTATCAATTTATAATGAATATAAATCATTTAAAAATTACAGTGTAGATAAAAATAAAATCTGATAAAAATAAAAATTAAAAATAAAATTTCGTCAATAATATTTTTAAAAAATTAATTACTGAGGTTTATATGAAAATTTCAACCACTTTCATAAAAAAATAGTTATTACATCATCGCACTAATTATAATATTGACACAAAAATAAAATAGATTTCATTTTGTACGATTGAGTAATAGTTTTAAAGTTCTTGGAACACATTTTTTTTATAGACTAGAAGCATACTTAAGCCCTTCAGCTTCTATAATTCCAAATTGACGTTTAAAACGTCATTGTTAAATATTTCTCGAAATATGTTTAATAATTGAAGTTTAAAACCTCATGTTTTTCTCATATTAATTGAGTTCATTTAATCATTAATAATCTATCTATATATATAGAGAATATCAGTCAAACTTTTGGTACGTAAAATACCGTTTTTTTCAATATTATATTGGAAAGTCATTTCAGTCATTAGAGCACATCTCTTGGCGAAAATTGTGAATCTTTTTTTTTATCATTTTCTAGTATATAGACTGTACTTTCTCATTTTCTAAAACATCTATGATTATTATTTTTGTTTTGTAAAATTGGCAACAATCTATGAATATTATTTTATTAGACATTTAAAATCTGTAAATAGGGCTCAAGTATCCCGTTCTTTAAACAGTTAAAATTTCTTGAGAGTATTTTTTTTGGAGGAAATAAAAAATGTCTCGTATAAATTGTATTTTCTTGAAAATCAGAGTTAGAAGTAAACTTTGTTCAACGGTCTTCATATATTATTTCTCTTGATATTCCTTCATCAATATATTAATATGAAATATATTAAACTTTTCGATATTTAATACTTCAGTCGTTTCGTTCTCTCACATTTTGTGCTTTTTCTTTTTATAGATTCTTTTTTTAAAATTCTTTTTCAAAACAATTATTGGCAGTTTTTGTATTGAATTCATTATAATTGTAATAATCATCGGTAACTCTAGTTCGTACTGAACTGCAGAAAATAGATTTTTCGAAAAAAATGTCACGATTCTAGTTTCTCTAATTTTTTTTTTGTTTCTTTTTTACTAGCTTCTGTTTAAGAGAATTGATAGATAGATTTTAATTTTTCCTTTGTTTGGAATTTGGATAAAGTGACTTTTTAAATATTACGAATGTGACGCGGTCTACGGACTAATAAACAACAAGATGACAGACCTGAACTGACTTTGGCTAATTCAGTCATGTGAAGGGATCTTGTGGGAAATTCAACTCTCTCCTCAAATACTTTACTTGATTCGGGAATTTCCTCCTCCGATCGATGAATCAATGTTCCATTCACGTAAAGAACATTTGCCGCAAAATCCTCTGGCACCGTGAGAGTTTGATAGTTGTAAGTCGCCTCTCTTTCGATTCTCTGGGAAAAATTAATTTTAAAAATTACTGCAAAATTGAAAAACAATCGAAATTAGTAGAAAATTGGTTAAAATAAGTTTTTCTTAATAAAAATTATCCTTTTTATTAAGAAAAACTAATTTTAACCAATTTTCCACCTTTAAAAATATACTTTATTTGATTGTTGTTTTCTAAAGTTTTTTGAACATTCAGACGAACGACGATATTTTTTTCACTTTTTTTTAATTTTTGTATCCTTTTATAAAAAAATAATTTTGTAAATTTAAAAAAATTAATTTCTTGAATTAGTAAATGTTTAATTTTATTTATTAAATTACTTAGAAAACAAGTAATTTTAAAAAAAATTTAAACAGAAAAAATATTTCGTTTATTTGAACGTTCAAAACTTTAGGAAAACACAAAGAATTCTTCAATTGTTGTAAATGTGATAAGGGATAAAATTTACTTTTAAAACCTCTTGAGCCTCTTTACCGCAACCAACGCAAATGACATCCGGTCCTGCCATTGAAACTAATGATTTTAAACGTTTCGATTCAGCAACCTGTAAAAAATATTGAAATTTTAACAAATTTTGTTCATTATAGAATTTGGTATTTTTAAATTTTAAATTTAAATTTTCTACAAATTTAACTTTAATTAAAAAATTTAATTACTAGCGAAACACGGTATTCAATTTATTATTATTTTGCAAATTACATAATATTTTTGTTTTGACATATCAACTTCAATTTTGGAATAATTTTACATTAAGAAATAAAAAAAATTCACTAATTAATTATTTTTTACAAAAATTCAATTCAATTCTTTGCAAGAATACAATTATTTTTAATATAATTTTAATAAAATTTCTTGAAAGAATTGAATACATTACAAAAAAATTTTCATGAAAAATTCTGAAATATTTCAATTAGTTTCAAAAATCTAAATGAAATTCTTCAAAAAAATTTAATAATTTTCAATAGAATTTAATAGTCAAATTTCTCAAACTTATTCAATTTTTTTCAAACATTTTGATAAAATATATTATTAGAATTTAATTATTGTCCAAAATTTTAATAAAATTCTTATCAAGAATTACATTTTATTCTTTAAATTAATCAGATTCATCACTGAAATTCAATTATTTTCGAAAATTTTTATAAAATTTTTGGCAAAAATTCAATTATCTTCATAAATAAACGAAATTCTTCATTGGAATCAATAATTTTCAATTCTATTTTAATACAATTATTTGAAAGAATTCAATTAATTTCAATAGAAAATTTCTTGAAAGAAACAAATCAATTATTTTAAAAATTTTAATAAATGTTTTGAAAACAATTCAATTATTTTTAAAAATAATAAAATTTTTCAAAAAAATTCAATTATTCTCAGAAAGTTTAAAACAATTCTTCAAAAGAATTCAATTATTTTCAAGAAGTTTAATAAAATTCTTTAACAGAATTCAATTATTTTCAGAAAGTTTAATAAAATTCTTCGAAATAATTCAATTTTTTAAAAATTGTAATAAAATTCTTCGCAAGAATTAAATTTTCTTTAAATTAGTCAAATTCGTCACAGAAATTCATTTATTTTCATATAAATATGACATTTTTTTGCATAAATTTAATTTTTTCTAATACAATTTGAATTGAATTTCCCGGAAAGAATTCAATTATTATCAAAACTTTGAATAAAATTTTCTCAAATAATTCAATTATTTTCGAAAATTTGAATAAAATTCTTAGCAAAAATTTAAAAATTCAATTTCAATACAATTTTAATGAATTTTGTTGAAAAAATTCAATTATTTTCAAATATGTTATTAAAATTCTTTGAAAAAAATCTCTACAAAGAATTCAATTTTTTTCAAAAATTTTAATAACATTTTTCGCAAAAATTCAAATATTTTTTTTTTAAATAAAGTTTTTCACAGAAATTCAATTATTTCCATATAAATAAGAAAATTTTTTTGTAGTATTTCAATTCTTTCTAATTTCATATACAATTATTTTCAAAAATTTGAATTAAATTCTTAGAATGAATTCTATTATTTTAATACAATTTGAATTAAATTACTAGAAATGACGCAAAATTATGATAAATAAAATAATTTATTAACAAATAATTTTATTTCTCTTTTTTTGAAAATAAGTCGAAGAAATTCGTCTTATTTTGCAAATAGTCGAAAAAAATAGCCGAGGCCTGTAATTATATATAAAAGAAACAGGATGGATTTTTTTATGATTTAATTATTTCTGTTTGGATGCAGTTTTTAAGTAGAAATATAAAACTGACCTTAATAGGCACGCAAGGATATTCTGGGAAAGCTGCGGCAATAGCACGTGCTCCTGCTTCATTTGTCTGAGCGGACAATCCAACGAAAAATTCACGCCCTAAGTTATTAAAAAATTTTATTACACTATTTCCGTTTACTATTTTAATTTTAATAGGATAAAGTCATTACCTGTGAATAAAACATCACCACCATCGAGTCTAGCATTTTTATCAGCAATTTCAACGAGAGGAATTTCCAATTCTTTCTTTAAAACCGCTTTAATACTGTCCACCTGTAACGATGATTGTTAAAATAAATTTTTCATTTGTTTGCAAATTAGTCGAATAAATAATGCATTGTCTTTGGATATAAATGTTTTATTGAAAAGAACATTTATTTATTTAAATTTCTTTTTTAATAGCTATAAAATATTTATCATTTTTATAGGTAGCTATAAATTGGCAGTAAATTAAATTCATGAACTTTAAATTCTTCCCATCAATCTCTTGAGACGTAGGTTTAAAATAGTGCTTGCGCATCATTTATTAAGAATTATAGAGTTTTAAGCGAGAGAAATAGTTTCTGGTTTATATTAGCAGGATGCATGATGTTACGTCAAAGTATTTGGTTTTATGTCCCTGAGACCAATTATCCTGTTAATTCAATTAAGTCACTGTAACCAGAGATATTTGAAAGGAACGAAATGACAGAATCGACAATTTTTTATTATTCAAAGTTAAAAATAGAAAATAGTACAAAAAGCAAAAAATTATATTTTATTTTAAAACAATAATTAATAAAACGTAAGGACATTCTTCTGACAGATGGAAAATCATATAATACGGAAACACTCGGAAATATTCGAAAACACTTGTCGTGAGAAAGAAAAAATAGGTCAACAATGAAAATAGTATTCAAAAATAGGTAAAATAACGGGGAGATAATAAAAAAGAGAATAATATACCTCTTTGATGCGAGATGGTTCGTTAGGTCGAGCTATGAGTGCAATACCGTTACAAACAACAGCAATGTCTTCAACGAAAGCGCAAAGTGGTGAACTTTCGTCGGGTGGCATTTCAACAACATCAATTCCAAATTCACGTAAAAGTTCAGCTAGTGCTGAATGCTGTGAACGTGCTTCATCCACATTGACCTCGCCTTTCGTTCCTAAAGAAAGTGGAATTCTGCAGAGAACTGCGTGTGTATATCTGTGAAGCGGCATTTTTTATTTATCATCAAATTTCTCCTAAAATTCCCTCCAACACTTTTTCATTAAATCAAAAATTCACTCTCTTCGCACACAATATTTATCACAAGTTTCACTTAAATTTCTCGAAACACTTGTATTTTTATACTCTTGGAAATAACCCGAAATAACTCACAAGTTTGACGTTTCTCAGCGTTCTGACATACACGGAGAACAAAACAGACGACACAAAACCCGGGACGCGCGCTTGCGTAATATTTTTGAAAGACACTGTCGGTAATGCAGAAAACATTAAAAAACATATATTGAACTTTTCTGTTCATCTGAAACTAACTATTTAGAAAATTTATTAAAATACGATTAATATTGATTAATAGTATATAGTAATTAATGTATATTAAAATTTGTTAAACAACTGTTGCATTAATAATAATATGAATAATAGAATCTATCGTACAGTAAAGTATGACGGGTTGCATATTCTTAGGATAAAGAAAATAAACTTTTTTCCATCTGGGAAAATTATTGTACAAGATTTGAAAGTGTTATACAGAAAAGGTAAGTAGTCAGTAAATTTTAAAAACAATTTTATAAATTTTAATTAAATTTACACTAAAATGTCGTCGAAAAGTGTTTTAAACGTCTCAAACGTTTTAAATTACGCGCTGAAATTCCATTGGCTTTGGTATCAAATGCCAGAAGTATTCTGATTGGCCCCCCATAGGTCTTCATACTAAAAATAAAATATGATTCGCTATCATTCACGCGGTAAAATGTTACTATTTTGAAGATAACCAATAAGGTAGTCCAAGTTGGGTGGGGGAAATTCAATATGGCTGACATCAGCTGATTTACCGGAGGACAAACAATGCATTGAATTCAATGGGACAAATCAGTTTTTTAACCATAACTTTTTAAATATTCATTTTTGAACCATAGTGTAATGGAAAATTATTCTTTATTTATCGAAATCTATTTTTTAAAACAATAAAATTAAATTTTTTGGTTTTATTGTTTTAAAAAATAGATTTCGATAAATAAAGAATAATTTTCCATTACACTATGGTTCAAAAATGAATATTTAAAAAGTTATGGTTAAAAAACTGATTTGTCCCATTGAATTCAATGCATTGTTTGTCCTCCGGTAAATCAGCTGATGTCAGCCATATTGCATTTCCCCCACCCAACTTGGACTACCTTATAAACCACTCAGTTATTCCACGCATGCGCAGTGAGGTAAAATCCAAAAGCGGCAAACGCGCATGATCAACACTCGAAACCTAACCTCAAATGATTTAAAATCATTCTGCGCAATCTCGTACAGTGCTTGACTGGTGCTCGTTCCTTAATTTTTCTGTCCTTGTTCTTTGTCTTGCTCGGCCGTAAATTCGTTTGCCTGTTCGTATATTTAAAACTGAATTTATCCTCCCTTGTTTCGGCATGACGCAAATGCTTTTCAACACGGTATTATATGAAATTGCATAAATTTTTTTCAACAGTGCCCGAGAAAGTTAAAGAACGCTTCGCGATATTGAAAAGTGCAACAGTGCCCGACGTGGATCAAAAGGCATGCCGAGGAGCAAATCTGAGTTCTGCTAGTATTTTGGGGAAAGATGCAAACAAAACAGATTTCACCAATTCGGTAACAAACAAGGAAACAATGAATAAAAACAAGACGTTTAATTATGAGCATTTTGTCGCCGGTTTATCCGGTGGCACTATTTCGACAATGCTTCTACATCCATTAGACCTTTTGAAAATCAGATTTGCAGGTAAGAGTTTTAGATTGTAATATATAAAAGACGTGAATTTTAAAATTGTCAGCTGATCGATCGTTCAGACTCCCTTTCACTGATCTTTTCGAGCACGTGGTTTTGTCTGGGTAGAAAGTTTCCCTAGTGTAATATACATATATCAAATTCAACCTTATATGTGTTATTTCCTTTCATTTTTTTATCAAGTCTTGCATCATACTTTTTAGCCTTTAAACTTTGCTCTCTAACCCTTTTTAATGCCAAAATATAACTTTTTTCTACTTGTAATTCTATTATGAGTAAAAGTATTCTATCATATATTCTTATCAAAAATACTATTTTGGGAAAGGAAGTTTTTTATAAAAACGCAAAAAAAAATATACTCCATGTTTTCTGGTCTATACTTTCTAGTTAAAATTGATGGTTTTTTCATTCATGTGCATTTGATTTGTAGAATTCGATTTATTGGTACAAGTCAAGACTTGAATTTTATCGGATGAATCTTGAAGTGTATTTACTTAGTTTGTAATTTGTAACTTGAATATTGAAAAGCATAACTTTGTTCTAGTTAATTGTCTCTTTAATTTATGCCGCATACAAATTTTTAGTCGTTTATTAAATTGTTTTGACTTAGAAAAAAAATTTCCTTGTTCTTTGTGGAATGACGTCACGCGTGAATGTTTCATCTTCTCTAACAAAAATTTTCCTGAAACGATTAACAGTTGCTTTCAACCGGATTTGCCTAATTTGGAATATTATTTTCATTCTGTATATAGAGTGGAGTATTCTTTTATATAATATAAAATATTCGTTTTTAATATAAAATTTTCTTTTATAATATAACATTTTCTTTTATAATATATAAAATATTCTTTTTTAGTGTAAAATTTTCTTTTTTTAATAAAAAATATTCTTTTGTGGTAAAAAATTTTCTCATAATATAAAATACGAATTCGTATAAAATATTTCCTTATAAAATAAAAAATATTCGTTTATATTTTCGAAATTTTCAACTTGTTTATATTTTTTAATTAGTAATCGTATTTTGATATTGCTCTTGAAAACGATTTTGCAATAAATATCTTGGAAATATACCTAATGTGATAATAATCTTAATTATCAATCCACTGGTTGTTTCTTTAAATAGTCTGGAATATTCTATACTTGTTTCCAACGATGCAAGGTGTGAATATGTATACCGAGAAAATGCTTTTATTTACAACGAAATTATAATTTTTGTCAACAAAATTTTTAACTGACTTGAAACTTGAAAAATTATTAAAATTGAAATTTATTATCAAATTATTAATGTGGATTAAAAATAGTCTATTTAGATTTTCAATTTAACAATGAAGCACTATAAGTAATGACGGTTTTGTTTTAAATAAATAAGAGTTATTTCAAAGTGCGAAAATATTCAAGAAATGTGGCATTATCATATAGTTATCTCTATTAAAATATCGTCGAATCGTCTGGCACACAGTAAAATTGTACTTTTATAGCTATTGACGCTATTAACATTTATATTTTACAAAATCTTGTCATTTATTAGATTTATTCAATTTGCCGAATTTTTTGACGTATTTACTTTTTGGAAATTTATGCTTAATTTAGTAATTTAACTTATTCTATTTACTTATTTATTTATTTATTCATTTACTTATTTATTTATTTATTTATTTACTTATTTATTCATTTATTTACTTATTTATTTATTTATCTATTTATTTATTTAAGGTATTTTTTGTGCTTTATTTTTCTAATCTTTTTTTCTTGGATTAATTGTTAATAACAACAGAAAATCATCAATATTATTGTATGTATAAATTTATGAATCAGGCAGAAAATGATAAGATGCCAGGAAATACAGAACAGATAAATATGCTTTATTCGAAAAATCGAAATTCATTGATAGCTAGGAATATTGAATTTTTGGCAGTGATTTAATTTAATTAAAATTAGTTAAAATTAGTTTCAGTTCTTTTTTTATTTTTCAATAGTAGTTTTTTAGTTTTTTTTTTGTAAAAAGTTTATTTATTTTTTATTTATTTAATTATAAATTTGTCCTATAAAAATTGTATTAAATTCAAGAACTAAATTTTCATTTTGAAAAGAACTTTTTTCTACTCAATATTATGTGATTTATGTTACAACGAAACAATTCGTGTTTCAAAAAGATTTATTTAAACTTCTTTTGAGTGGATTTTACGATACAAAAATATTTTGACATTTCGGTAAATTAATTTTTCGAAATATATTCTTTTCCAATTTATTGTAGTTTATTAGAATTTCTATATAATTGTTAATAAATTGTCAATAAATTGTTAATAAATAGTCAATAAATTGTCAATAAATAATCAATAAATTGTCAATAAATAGTCAATAAATAGTCAATATTGTCGATAAATTGACTATAAATTTTATGAACATTGATTTAAAACCTCTGAATGAAATTTCTCGTAATTTTACTGCGTATTTTTATTATAATATTTGGCTTGCTACCAAATCACACGAAGCTTGTCTATTGCGTCAAAAACACGTGGCAAATTTCTTTTTGAAGGATGTTCACAAACCTTGTCTCTCTAGTTTAGAATTTTTTTTCATTTTTGAATTTAGTTATATTATAGTAGTACAATTTTTCGAAAACGAAAAATGATAATAGACAATTGAGTAAAATTTACGTAATTTATTTATTTATTTACTAACACATTAGATATGGAGAAAAAAGAAAAAATCCACTTTTATAGTATATTGATCAATAATGACGATCTTTTTGACCTGTTCCTGATAGTGTAATAAAAAAGCGAAAAATTAATTTTTCTCGACAGCAGAAAATGCTAATTGTTGTTTGTATTATTCTGTTTATCTGTTATGCGTTGTCGTTAATTTTTCTGTTAACTGTTCCAGGAAATAATATATATTTACAAATAAATTGTGTGAAATAATTTCTTTTTTTCTTTACTGGAAATTAGAACATTTTGGAAAAGAAAGATTATAAAAATGTTTCGAATATAGGTAAGAAAATGGAATTAATGACTGGAATTTTTTTTCAGTAAATGATGGAATTATACGAACAATTCCCAGATACGGTGGTCTTGTAAGTGGCATACAAGACATCGTAAGAACGGAGGGAATTCGTGGACTTTACAGAGGTGTCTCGCCCAATATGTTGGGATCAGGAGCATCTTGGGGCCTCTATTTATTTTTGTAATTATTCAATTAACATAAAATAAAAATTTATTTTTTTATTTATTTTTTCGTATCAGTAATGAAAATAAATTTGAAATTAATTAATTTTAATCAAATGAAAACTAATTTAGTAAAATATTTTACTTCTTCAGCTATAGAACCATGAAAAATCGTTTACAAGATGGTGATCCAAACAAAATAATTGGCGTGAAAATGAGTTTATTTGCAACTGCTCAAGCGGGAATATTTACCAATCTCATAACAAATCCATTGTGGGTGATTAAAACACGAATGTGCTTGCAATATTCTGGCGATAGTGCTCTTCCTGAATCACGAAGATATTCTGGAATTATAGATGCAGTGCGAAAAATTTTCAAAACCGAAGGATTTAAGGGCTTTTATAAAGTTAGTTTATTAATCTCCCAATTTTTTTATTATTTATCTTATTTTTTTTTTAATTTTTCAATAAATTTTTATTTTTGAATAAAATATTTTATTTTTTAATAGTTTGTCTATTTTTGATAAAATATATTTTAAAGGATAAATTTAAATATTTACAGGGTTTGGTTCCTGGTATGTTCGGTGTAACTCATGGATGCATTCAATTCGTTATTTATGAAGAAGCAAAACTTAGGTACAATATTTACAAAGAAATGCCACTAGAGACAAAATTAGTAAGTATTCTTCTTTTTTAAAAGTTTTTAATTTTCTTTTCAATCAAGTAATTTATGAAAATATTTTTGAGATTTTTAATAACGAATGTTTCGTTCATTTGAACGATCAAAACTTTTTTGTCACAATTATTACAGAAAAATTAATTTTTTTTAATGAGAAATACGGATAATGTTATTTATTTTGTAAGAAAAATTGGATTTTATTTATTTCAATGTCTTCTTATATGAAGAATTAAAAAAAATTAAAATTTCAATGATTTTATGTCACTTTTGTTCTAATTAGTTCTAATTTTTACAAATTCAGACGTAGAGAATAATTCTTGTGATACAAATTATGCTAGAAATTTTTAGAAATTCTTTTATTTTTCATAATTATGCGTTAAAATGAATTTATTTCTTAATTTTAGAAAATAACATATTTTTTTTAAAGAAATATAATTCTTGCAACTTTCATGATTTTTAATTTAAAATAATTTAATTATTCCACAGGATTTTTATTTTGGAAACTAATTGAATACTTGCGAAGAATTTTATTATTTATGAAAATTATTGAATTCTTGTGAAGAATATGAAAATTCTTAAAAAGTAATTTAATAGTTTCGAAAAATTTTCAATTTTTGCAAAAAACATTTCTTATTTATATGAAATGTAATTGAATTTCGGTGAAAAAATTTAAAAAAAGGTAATTGAATTCTTGAGAAGAACTTTATTAAAATTTTCGAAAACAATTGAATTATTTGAGAGAATTTTATTCAAAGCTTTGAAAATTGAATTCTTTCCAGGAAATAAAATTCAAGTTTAATTATAAATTCTTGCAACAAAATTTTCTTTTTTATATGAAAATAATTGATTTTCTGTGACGAATTTTATTAATTTAAAGAAAACAATTTAATTCCTGTGAAGAATTTGTTTAAAATTTTCGACAATAATTAAATTCTAATAAATATATTTTACTAGAATGTTTGAAAAAAATTGAATATTTTCGAGAAATTTTATTGCAAATTATTGAATTCCTACAAAGAATTTTATTATTTATGCAAATAATGGAATTTTTTCGATGAGTATCATTCAGATTTTTGAAACTAATTGAAATATTTCCAAATTTTTTCAGACAATTGTTTATAGTGTATTGAATTTTTTCAAGAAATTTTATTAAAATTGTATTTAAAAAAAATGAATTGCAGCTAAACATTGTATTATTTATAAAAATAATTGAATTCTTAGAAAGAATATTATTGAAATTTTTTAAAATAATTGAATTCTTTCAAAGTATTTTTTTAAAAGTTTTAAAAATGACAGAATTCTTTCCAAAAATTGTATTAAAATTGTGCTGGAAATAATTGAATTTCTACGAAGAATTTTTTTATTTTTGAAAATAATTAAATTATTTCAAAGAATTTTATGAACCTTTCTGAAAATAATTAAATACTTTTAAAGAATTTTTTTAAACTTCCTGAGAATAATTAAATTCTTTTGAAGAATTTTATTATTTTTGAAAATAATTAAATTGTTTTGAAGAATTTTATTAAAATTTTCTAAATAATTGAATTCTTGTGAGGAATATGAAAGTTCTTAAAAATAATTGAAATTTTTTAAAGAATTTAATTAAACTTCCTGAAAATAATTGAATTCTTTTGAAAAATATGAAAATTCTTAAAAATAATTGAAATTTTTTAAAGAATTTAATTAAACTTTCTGAAAATAATTGAATTCCGTTGAAGAATTTTATTATATATGAGAATAATTGAATTGCTGGGAAGAATTTTATTAAAATTTTTTGAAATTATTAAATTTTAATCTATAGTAAATCAATTAAGAAGCGAATTTTTAAAAATTTTAAACCTGAAATTATTGTCAAATTGATATTTGAATATTTGTTAATATTTGAATTTAAAAATTTTAAGTTTTGTCATTTTCACCTATTAACAATTAATACCGCTTTTTGCGTAGTTTGTAATATTTACTAATAATTTTATTTATTTTTAAGGTGAAAGAAGTTAACAATTTTTTTTTAAAGATATTTATTTATTTGTGAAATTTATTTATTTTTCTTTTGATTTTTATATTGATTTTATTATCAATAAAAATGTTTTTCGAATATTTAAAAGTAAGAAGAAATTTTCTCTTTTTCCAGGGCTACGTGAGTAATGTAGTATTCGCGGCATTATCAAAATTTGTAGCAGCTATTTGCACCTATCCCTATCAAGTTGTGAGGACACGACTACAGGATCAACATCACGATTACAGAGGATCATTGGATTGCATCAACAGGACATGGAGGTCAGAAGGCTTTAAGGGTTTTTATAAAGGCATATCACCATACATGTTACATGTCACACCAAATATACTCGTGGTTATGTTCTTTTATGAAAACTCTAACGATATTATTCCATCAATTAAAAAATTCGTTCTCGGTGTAGATAGTTAGATTAACTCTGCCGTGTAAGTAAGACACTTCAACTGCTGATAGCAGAGATCTTTGCAGAAAAAGCAAAAAAAAAAAATTAATAAAACTCACAGTACTTATTTGTTATAGATAAATACTATCCTTGACTGAAAAAAAAACAAAACTGACTCTAAAGGCAAAATGCATCATGCAGTTTGCGTGCTTTCTTATTTCCTCGGCAGAATTAAATCTTTCTTGTATATATTTTTTAAATTAGTGAAAATAATTCCCGGACACATTTAACGTTTTTTGTCAGATGTTTTACAATTTACACTCAAAGGAAAAAATTGCTCTAAAAAATATTCTCCAATTGTCTTCTACTAAGGGAGCAATTTTTTTTTCCTTTCTTGAGTGTCTCATCTGTAAATTCGTTATTGTTGTCAACGTTTTAAACGCTAAGGGCACATTAAGCAAATAATTGTCTATTAATGTGACAGAAGAATCTATTTTTTCTTTTAGAAATTTTTGTAAATAATTTCGGATTTCGAAAACAAAAAGTTTTGTCATTTTTTTCGTTTCGAGTCTCTCGAGAATATTTTTGTTTTTTTAGAGAATGCACACGTGAATCAGTATTACAAATGTAATATGTAAAATATTTCGTTTCATTTCTAAGTTTAGATCTGGAAACTTCTGACACATAAATCTTAATGTTCTCTGAAGATTAGGAAAATTAAAAACTTTACTTATTGCTGTCTTCTATTAAAAAAAAAGAGGGTAGAAATCGTCTGTGTTGAAAGTGTTATTTCAATATGGTTGTGTTGCATTAATTGATAAACTGTGAATGTATCGGGTTATTATCACAACTATATAACTACATTTCCACAAACTCCTTTCGTTGATAAGACAATATTGCACTTTAGCAAAAACTGAAATATTTTCGATTTTTTCGCTTTTGTAGTTCTTTTTCTAATTTATTTTTTCAAAATTTCTTTTTTTAATAAGAAAGCTCTCTAAATGAAATGTATTAATTTACTTTTTGGAAAAATTGTAAATTTTAGAATTAGAAATTTAATGGAAAGGTTAAAAATAATTCAAGGATCTATTCTTTTTTCTAGTAGTTTTCTAGTAGTTTTCTAGTAGATTTCTAGTAGACTTTTTTTAGAGAATTATTTTAAATGTAGTTTAATATAAAAAACTTCCATATTATTTTTGATACTGTGATTTTTAACGATTTGTCAATTATCTGAATTGTTTATTTCGAAAAGAGCTTATTTTTAATCCAAAATGGTTATTGTGTATGTACAAGAAATTAAACTACTTAAGCGGTGTTTGTGCATGTTTATCTTGATGTGATTCCCTCACATGAAGAGGGTAATTAGAAATGCAAAACTTATTCAATATTATTCCTATTAGTTGATAAGACTAATATGCAATAGACTTAGGATACAATTTATAGAAAAAAAATGAAATTGTGTTTGGAAAATTATCCTTTTTTTCCTAATAATAATTATATTACTTTTTCAACTTCGACAGTCTATGCTCAAAAAAAATTTTTTTATTTCTCTTCAAAAAGAGAAAAGAATATTGTATCTAGAAAGAACGCTTTGAAAAATGTTTTTATTTTCATCTATTAATTAATTTAATAGAAACATTTTCGTTCTCATTCTGAAATTAAAGAATTTATTTAATTTACAGAATGTATTTTTAAAGTTTCTTTGTTTTTTTTTTACTTTATATTATCAGAACGTAATTTATTATATATTTTTATTATTGATTTTAATAAGTAGAAAAATTTCTAATTTTAATAATTTGCGGATAATTTTAAAGTAGGGAGAAAAATGTCAACAGATTTTCAATAATCTGAATTTATTTCTAAAAGTGGGAATGTAGCTCAGAATTAATTTGTATTATATAAAATATGGCGTTCGATACGATACATTTAACAAAGAAAAAAAAATAGTTAAATAATTACTAAAAGAAATTAACAATGGTTATTTGAATTTAAAAATAGCCTTTTTATTATTATTATTAATGAAAATTGACAATTACAATTTAATTACAATTTCTAGTAATTAAATTTTTCGAAAAAAAAACAAGATAAATACGAGTTGGACCTTTTCGTGTTTTGAACTAATATTTTTCATATAAATACGTATTATATTTGAAAACTTATATATTTTGTCTCTACATTGGTAGTAATTATTGTCGTCGATTAAATTCGTGATAAGAATTTCATGCGATGAGCATTCTAAAAATATATTTACATTAAAAAATAGTGTTAAAGTTTCTTGTCACGCCAACTTGTAAATAATAGGAGAAATTTATTTATACGATTTCTTTCAACTGTAAATAACATTATATTGGCTTTAAAAAAGAAAAAAAAAATGGGAAAAATTAATTTCAAAACGCTGGCACAAAAAAATGTGTGTTTTAGTTATTAATAAAATTCGTTCATTAGAAATTATTTCGTTTTCAATTTAGGATTGAGCATTTTTTTTCAAGTTTATTATTACAGGCTTCGGATAGTTTGACTTTTTTTTACTACATATGTATTTTCAAAAAAAGGCGGCTCTTTTCTCGACTTATTTTTAAAAAATGAATCTTTTTCGATTTTTTCTCGAAATAAACAAAATAAGAATTTTTTTTAAGTATAAAAGGAAACTAATTTGTATTTTTATAGTGTGAAAAATAATTGTAGTCGTAAAATGTATTTTGAGATTTCAAAAGTTATTATTGAATAAATTTCTGTTGATAATTAAATTTTTTCAATCAATTTTTGAATAATTTTAATAGTAAATTTTGAAAATAATCAAATTCTCAAAAATTTTAATAAAAATTCTACAAAAAAAGATTTGAAAAAGAAATTTAATGAAAATTATTTTTTAAAAATTAAATTAAAATACATATTTTCAAAAAATGCAATTCTTAGAATTTTTTAATTATAATTTTTAATACATTTTTTCAATTACATTTAATTTTTAAAGAATTTTAAGTGCAAATTTTGAAAATTCTTGCATTCTCAATAATTTTAATGCAAAATCTTCAAATTAAAATTTCAAAAAAGTAAATAATAATTGAAAGTTATATTAAAATATTTTTAAAAGACAAATATAATTCTTGAAAGTTTTTCATTAAAATTTTCAAAGTTCGTTTACATATTTTCAATTACAATTTTAATTGCTAATTTTGAAAATAACTGAAATCTCAAAAATTCTAAAGGAAAAACCTTTAAATTAAAATTTAAAAAATGAAAATAACGAAACTTATCTTTAAAAAGTTGTATAAAAATATTATTAAACAAATAATTTATAAAATTTTGTGATTATAATTTTTTAAAATTCAATTCTAAAAATTCTAATTTTTTAGAATTATTATTAAAATTTTAGAGAAAACAATCATTTTAAAAATTTTTGATTAAAATTCTTCAAAAAAATGATTATTTTTATATATTTTCTAAAATTGTTGTTAAAAAAATTAATTATTTTCGAAAAACTACAATTACTATAAATTTTTAAATTCTATTATCTTTCAAAAAAAGTAAATTAAAATTTTTAAAAAATCTACTTTTTTAATTATTATTAAAATGCTGGAAAAAACAATCGTTTTTAAAATTTTTGAATTAAAAATCTTCAGCAGATGATTAGTTTCTTAAATAATTGTCCAAGAATTTTTTAAAGAAATTCAATTATTTTCCATAAATTGCAATTATTACAATATTTTTAAAAAACTAATTCTGGAAAATTTTTTTATCATTTGTAAACAATGTTCTTCAAAAACTTGACTATTTTTTAATATTTTACAAAAATTCTTTTAAAAAATTCAATTACTTTCAAATTTTTTTACTAAACTTAAATTATTTGGAACTTTTTCAATAATATATAATTAAAATTCTATTATTTTACAAAAATGATTTAAAAATATATTTTTAAAAAACTAATTTTGAGAAGTTTTTTTATTATAATTTAAAAAAAAATCAATTATTTTCAATTACATATTTGCAGTAATTCACTTTAATAACTTAAAAAAAATATATGAAGACTTACAAATGTTATAAAAATTTATTAATCAATTATTATAAAAAATTGAATTTTTATATTTAAATAATTAAATTCTCTAAGAGATTTCGGAAAATTATTAAAAATTATTGATTTAAGGAAGAAGTTTCGTTAAAAATTGTAGAAAATAATTAAATTTTGAAAGAGTTACTGTTGTAATTTTTTAAAATAATTAAATTTCAGAAAGTTTGAAATTTAAATTTTAAAAAATTTTAATTCTTGTGGAAAAATTAAAAATAATTTGAATATTTATTTAACAAAATTATTCAAGTTTTGAATAATTGAATATATAATTCAATAAAATCAGTGAAAAATCAGGAAAATACAAAATAAAATTTTTCTGACTACACTGAAAATACTTTTTTGACTTTTTTTATATCTATGTATAATCGACTAAAAGCGATTATTTTGCGCCTTAAAGTCAATCCTAGGCCTGTTACATTAACGTTTAACATTTTTTAATCTCTAAAATTTGTTAAATAATTAAAAATCATTGTTTCTAAACCCCTTCATCAAACTCATAATCTTTCTCATTAGAATAAGTTATTAGTTAGTCAATATCAACAATAATTGTTATCAATAATGATGTATTAATTAAATCTTGAGAATTTCTTCTCATGTGTCTCCCCCCTTGGTAAATGTGAAACCAGCAGCAGTACGATTTTTGAATTTTCAAGATTTGTTGCTGATGTAAAGAAAAAATTCACAATTTAAATATAATATATTTTTAACTTTTAATTTCTTTCGAAGACCTCGAAATTTGAAAGCGTACTTGACATCAAGAATCGTACGCAGGTCTCTTTCCAAAAAATTTTTTTTTTAATAATTGATTTTTATTTTTTTTAGCTTTTAAAAATAAAAAAAGAAAATTTAAAAAAAAAATTAGTATGAACGTATTGCTGGTGGTTTTTTTTTGCAGGTTTGAAGGTTGCCGCGGCTTTTACAAGGGTTTGAGTATGAATCTATTAAGAGTGGTCCCTGCTACCGTTATCACTCTAGTAGTCTATGAAAATGTAGCACATTTTCTCTTAGGCCTGAAGAAACCAAATGTTATTGAGGGAACTTCTCCGAACACACTTAAAAATAAAGAGAAATTAGTTGAATCGTGATCACTTCTCAAGAATTCCACAAGGCTTTAGAAAATTCTCTGCACAAGAAAAGAAGTAAAACAAAGGCTGAGAGAGTGAAAATTAAGTCACAAATTACGTTTTTTTGTAAGTAAGAAAGAATAAGGTATTCTATTAATTTTAATTACACGATAGTTTTATTTTTGTTTGAAATTGGACGGAAAATTTTGAAAGACGTCGTACAATTGATATTCACCTCAAATTGTTATATTTGAATTAATATTTTATAATTGGATTAAAGAGATTTTCGCTCAAAAGTATATTTTTTTAATTTAAGAAAATTCCAGACATTAGGAAAATTTCCTCTAGGTATTTTTTTTAACTAATTAGATTAGATTTAAACTTCTGATTCTAATTAGTCTCTGTTAGTTTAATTAATTTAGACTATTTCGCCTGAAGTAATATTTAGTCAATTTTCAGACAAAAATATTTAATGGAAAGTATTTATTTATTATTTTATTATTCAAAACTGGATTATCAAAGTTGACATTGTTTTAAGTTATTTATAATTAAAAACTAGTATTTAAATTTTCCACTGATAAATTATTTCAATGGAACTATTTTTAAACGATAATTATATTTATCGTACAAGTTGTCCTATTTTTATTTTTATTTACAATATATTTTGTCACTTTTTCAAATATGAATACTAAGTCAATTATTTATTATGTTATTTTATTTTTTATTATATTTTATATTTTTTATTATTTTATTTTGTATGGATATTTTTTTATCCTATTTTCAAAAAATTTTAATTACGATTTTTTAAAAGTTTTTGCATAAAATTTACTTTATAGAATTAAAATAACAGAAAATTCTGTTATTGTCAAAATTCAAGGGGAATTAATTTCACTAAAACACTAATCACATTATTTACGAATTAATTGTCAAATTTTTGACGTGATAATTTGAAAAAATTAAAACAATTTGGAATCAAAAAGCTCTAACTTCACCAGGGTTGCCACAGGTCAGGGAAAAGTCAGGAATTTTTATTAAAAGTACTGAAATTTTTTTTTTCTATTTCTGACCAGAATGGATTTTTTAAAATTGTTTAATTATTTCAAAAGTTTTAACCGCAATTATCTTGATAAATAACAAAATTCTTCACAGAAATTCAATTACTTTTAGGAATTTTTATAAAAATCTTTGCAAAATTCAATTATTTTCATAAAAAAAACAATATTCATCACAAGAATTCAATTATTTTTAAAAGTAATAAAATTCTTCGAGGAAATTCAATTATTTTTAGAAATTTTAACGAATATCTCGTCAAGAATTCAATTATCTTTATAAATAGCAAAATTTTTCGCCAAAAACTCAATTATTTTTGAAAATTTAATAAAATTCTTTGCAAAATTTCAATTATTCTCTATAGTTTTTCGCAATTCAATAATTTTTAATATTTCGTAAAATTTATCAAAAGATTTAATTATTCAAAAAAATTTTTGATTCAATTCTACGAAAACATTCAATTATTTTCATAAATAATAAAATTTCATTTAGGAATTCAATTATTTTCATCGCAAAATTTCAAATATTTTTAATACTATTTTAAATAAATTTCTCGAAAAATGCAATTATTCTAAAAAATTTTATTAAAACTTTAAGAAAGAATTCAATTTTTAAGAAACATTCAACAATTATTGATTAAAATAATGAAATTCGTTGCATTATTTTAAATTTATTTAAAAATGAATTTCGGATAATAATTTAATATTAATAGCATTATAGCATGAATTTTTAGAAGTAATTGATTTTTGAAAAGGTTTCAAATTCAAATCTTTGGAAATTTATATTTTTCATACTTTTAACTGAAAATATTGTAAAATTAATTTTTTTGAAAAAGTTTATTTCAATTTTTTTTTGAAATTATTTGAAGTTTTTATTTTCTAACATATATTATAATATTGAAGATTTTCCGAATTATTGATGTTTTTGAATAATTTTGCAATTAAAGAAATTCGCAAATAAATGTATTAGAACATTTTTTTTGGGTATCTAATAATTTTTAGAGTGAATCAGAATATTCTTTGGGGTCAGGGAAAATGTCAAAATTTTGTCTGGAAATCAGGGAAAAACAAAATTAAATTTTTGTGGCAACGCTGTTCTCGTAAGAGCAGAATATATTGATTATTATTATATTTTAGAGAGAATAATAACTTATTTACTTGATTCATTTACTTTGATAAAAAAATTCTTTATGCAAAAATGAAAATTTATTGTGAAATCTGTCAATTATACACCCACAATAGGATTGTTCTTAATTAATAATTATGATAAGCGTACTCGTAGACTAACTTAATTAGATATTGGAAATTACTGGAAGCGGCGAGATCTCCTAATTCTTGTTCAGCAAGTAGTAAATCGACCGATGGAAGGAAAGTTTCGATTTTGTTACCTTTAAATAAAAATTCGTATGAATTAAATTAAGTTAAGTTAAATTAAATTATATTATATTACATTAAATAAAGTAAAAAATTTAAGAATTGAAAACAAAGAAAATTGTGATAAAGGAGAAAAATTAAAAAAATGAACAAAATCAGAGAAAAAAAATTGAAGGAAAATAGGAATTGGAACGATGTAGATTGGAAATAATTGCTAGAAAAAGTATGTTACTGAATTCTTACCCATAAAATGAGTGAGATCCATCAGTTTAAAGAACATTGTATCTTGCACCTGCTGCTCTGGATTTTTTGTCACAATATCCCACTTATCTCGTCGAGCCACTCGCGCCCATATTCTCAATTTTAATGGCGCTTTCTCCTCTTCCTGTTCCACAAAGTCTAACAAATCTAGAGCCTTCTTGAAGTCATATTCATTGGCAACTTCGTTTTCCTCACAAGTGTACAACTGGAAAATATTTCAAAATAGATATTTTTATGAAATTAATCAATTTATATAAAATTTAAATATTTATTTATTTGTACAAAATTAATTAATTTTGTTTTAAAAGCAAAGAAAAAGAAACTCACAATAATCAGCTCAGTCGGTGTGAGTACTCGAAGTTTATCAATATCGTATCCGTAACTTGCAAGCACTTGAGCTGGCAAATCTTCCTGATGAGCAATCAGTGACAGTTCTCTATTTATTCTATTTGTACAATCCTTTATTTCATTCTCGGGTTCATCAGAGGCCAATAAGGCAAGTTTTGCAAGTGATAGCATTGTCTGAAATATTTATGAAAATCTAAAGAACTTCTAATTTTTCAATTAGGGGAAAATAGAAAATAGTCTCTAAATAGGAAACTAGGTTTTTATCTAAGTATAAAAATTGATAATTATTATTTTTCTGAAGATAACCTTTTTTCTGGTAACAAGTTCACTTTCTTGAGTGGATAGAGAATGGAGTGTATTGGCAGCGAGACGCAATTCGTCCGTCAACGCTGTTTGCACCCAAGATATTGAGGGATGTTCGGATAATCTTTCCGTTAATTCAGGAGCTCCACCTCGTCTGCATCTTTCTATTAATTGCCCTTGTCGACCGTCTTTTACATACCTGAAAAAAATGGTCAATTTCTCCATTTAAGATTCATTATTAGAATATTATTCTATCATTAGATTTTAGAATATTATTTTAATTAGATCATTAGATCCACTTCGTCAATGGAATTCATCATTAGGGATTTTCAACACTTATTACCATGAGAAGAGAAATCCTACAAAATCGTGTGAGGCAAATCTCTCCATGTAACTGTCGAGGCGATTTTTATTATTCGTTAGTTCGCAAATTTGAACCAAAGCCGCGAAATCGTAGTACTTTTCAGCAAGCATTGCCGCATTTTCATATTGCTCTTCTTTAACTGTAAGAGAAAATTTATTTAATCGAAAAAATTTTTTTTTTTTGGTAAAATAAATAAAAATATTAATAAATAAAAATACTTATTTTGGAATAAAATAACTTACCAAGCGGCTGAATTAAATTGGTCCTCTCTGTCTCGTATTGTTTAAGTAAAATTTCAAACTTTTCAGTTCCACGAATACTCTCCAAATGGCATTTTCTTCCATCGAGTATTAAATCAATGAGACTGACTAGTTGTTCGTATAGAGCATTTCTAAGAGAAGAGTCGTTAGTTCCAACTACACCGTGTTTTAGAGTTAAAGATTGCTAAAAAAAAGGAGAATTTCAGTAATCAGTAATTTGTTAATAGTCAAGTTTTTGGATCTTAATCAATAGTAATAATCAGTAATGGTTCAAAATTATCGAAATTATATTAAAAATTAGAATCTATCTCTTCAAACAAACCATTGTATTTAGACAAGTTTTTAAACCGTGCTTTCCGGTAGCAGCCGTCCAGGGTAAATATTCGGCAATTCCGCTCGAACATCTTAAAGGAGCAAATTTCTCTGCATTGTACTGTCTGTATTTTACAACTTCGTGCATTATACTCTGTTAAAAAAATAAAATTTAGTTAATTTCAGTTAATAGTTAATTACTTAATTAATAAAATTAATGTATTGAAAATAATCGAATTGTTGCAAAGAATTTTATCAAAAAATATAATAATAGAATTCCTTCAAAGAATTTTATTATTTAGGAAAATAATTGAATTCTCGCGAAGAATTTTGTTAAAATTTTTGTAAATTCTAATTAAATTCTTCTTGAAGAATTTATTTGAATTTTTTTTTAAATAATGAAGTTTCTTCAATAATTGTAATTAAAATTTTTGAAAATAATTGAATTTTATGAACAATTTATCTCAAGTTTTTAAAATAATCGTGTTTGTTAATAACTGAAATTTGAACATTTTTAATTATTGAATTTTATTAAAAGTTTAGAAAATAATTGAATACTTTTGAAAAATTTTATACCGAATTAAGAAAAAAATTGAATTGTTTCGTGAAATTTTTTTGAAAACAATTGAATTTTTGCAATGAATTTTACTATTTATAAATATATGATTTAATTTTTTCAAAGAATTTATTAAAATGTTACCAAATAATTGAATTCTACTGTAATTTTTTATAACGAATTAAGAAAAAAATTAAATTCTTTCGTCAAGTTGTTTTGAATATAATTGAATTTTTGCAAAGAATTTTACTATGCATAAATATAATTGAATTTATTAAAATTTTAGAAAATAATTCAATTTTTTCGAAAAAATATTATTAATAATTAAAAAAAATTGTATTCTTTCATGAAATGTTATTAAAGTTTGTTTGAAAACAATTGAATTTTTGCAAAGAATTTTACTATTTATAAATAAAATTGAATTGTTTTGAAGGATTTATTAAAATTTTAGAAACTAAATTGAATTCTTTATTTTCTTCGAAGTATTTTATAACGAATTAAGAAAAAAATTGAATTCATTCGTGAAATTTTTCTAAAAATAATTGAATTTTTGCAAATATTTTATGATTTAAAAAAATAATTCAATTGTTTCCAAGGATTTATTCAAATTTTAGAAAATAATTGCATTCATTCGTGAAATTAAATTAAAATTTTGTTTAAAAATAATTGAATTTTTGCAAAAAATTTTACTTTTTGTAAAAATAATTGAATTTTTACGAAGAATGATATTATTTATGAAGAAAATAATTTAATTCTTGCAGAGAATTTTATTAAAATTTTTAAAATTAATAAAGAAGAATAATTAATTAGTAAATTAGTTAATAATTGCATTGTTTTAAAGTTTGAATATTAAATTATTCAAAAATTCATATTTGAAAATATGGATATTAACAATAGTTAATTTATCCAAAGTAGTAGTTTGTAAATTGTTAAGTAGTTTTTTCTTACCAAAAGAATGGAATTAATGTGCATTATATATTGAGCAACTTGAAGTGTTGGTCTCTCTGATTGCGTCACTTCGACTGCACTTTCTACCAAATTTGGCAAAAATCTATGAACAGTGCTCACTTCACGATAAAAAATATCGTGTGAACTGAGTTCGTCTGACACGTAAGCTTCGGGCTTCAAAGTTTTCTCTATTATTGCATCGACAATGTCTGAAAATCTAATTGACATTGCTCTTTTACAAAGTATTCTAATTAGCTTAAATAATTAAAATTCCTTGTTTTTAAAAATATGTTAAAAAAAAAAGTTTTCTAAAATTTTTGCCCACCTCTGTTGAATATTATAAATTGATAGAGATGCAACAACTTTTTCAGCATACTCAGCTAAAACGAATGAAGTCGACATAATTATTCCTCTGTATGAAACGGCACAAAACTGAAAAAAGATAAAATTTTTACAAACTTGTAATCTAAACATTTTTTCTCAAAGAAAAAAAAGTATACGCTTGTAAACTATTTATTTAAAATTTCTTTGTATTCTTTGTGGTTTGAATTGCAGGTATTTATTTTTTAACTTACTCTATCCCACAGGCCGTATTCCTTCAAAAATGTTATAAATAGATCCAAAGCCTTTTGTTTAGCTTCCAACTGATGAGGAATGTGCATTGATGTTACGGAATTTAATGTTATAGCTGTAAAACGAAATTTGTATTATAAAAACTCACAAAATTGAAAAGTAGGCGATAAAAATAGAAAAATGGTGACTGACACAAATCTCGATGATTCGTCCATCGAGGATCATTAGCAGGATAATCGTCGATTAAATCCTTCGCTACTTTTAAGATAAGAGTATCAAGATTCGCATCAACGTCCATAACTGGCTCCTCTTGTAATGGGAAAAGTTGCGAAAGTATCTCCTCGCATTGCGCCTAAATTAGGTAATTTAAATTTAGCATAAACTTAAATTAGAGCAATTTAAAAAAAGTACATAATTTAAAAAAAACATAATTTTTTATATAGGTGAGAAAAAATAATTCTTTCCGAGTCAAATCAAAAGAAAAATAACTTCTTTTTTATCGTTTCGACGATAACAATCTGACCGAGAGATAAATTCTACTTTATATATAATTTTTTATGGTTTGAAAATAAAATATATAATAAAACGTTGAGATTAACGAAAAAGTGAAATATTCTTAAAAAATGTCACCTTGTTCTGACGCAAGCGAAGGAGAAACGCAGCTCGCAATTGTGCACAAGGATCCGATCTACAAAACATTTCTTGCAGTTCCTCGTTACTTGTTACTGTGTAAAAATTCTCTCCTGCTAGACTTGCGTTACAACTGTAGTCCACACTCGCACTCACGTCCGAATAACTTCTGCATAAAAGAAGAGAAAATTATTAAATGCAAAAAAAAAAAAATAGAGGAAATAGAAATATCGTATTAACTAACGCGTTGAAATCTTGAGTTGTGAAATCATTTGGTATAATTGAAACAAGTCCGAGATTTCTAGTGAACAGAACAGGAGTTCCAGAACATAGAGCTCCACCGAGAATACTGTCCTCTCCTCCTCTGACTATGTCGACTTTATCCTGTTCGTGTTCCACGAGTGCTGAAAAAAGTAAAAATTTATTACAAATATGTTTAGTTAATTTTTTAACTAATTAATTATTCTAGTTCATTTAATTTGAATGTTAGACCAAATTTTATAATTTAAACTCCATACGATAATAATATTAGTTACCGACACAATTTGCCACCAATAATTTAGTAAAAAAGTCAAAAATTTGTTAATTTCTATAGCAACTTACTGTTTATTATAATAACATTGTGCTGATTGTAAATAATTGCCTCCCACGCAGAGAGAATGAAACGATAGGACAAAACAACGTCCAAACAAACAGGGTCCTCGTGATATATGAAATGTCCAAGTTTCACCGGCATAAACCACTTGAATGCGTTCGCCAAATTAGTTCCACTGAGAGAAACAAAACCTGAAAATCACCTTTATTACTGATTGTCTCAATTTTTTTTAATTTTTACATTATCATCAAAAATGAGAAGGTTTTGGATTTTTTTTTGTAGTTTTATAAACATTTTTTTTTTAATATTGAAGAATTACTAAAATAATATTTTACCGATAGCAAAATGTATCGTTGGAGAAACATCTGGACTATGCGCAGCCACTAATAGAACAATTCCTTCCTCGTAAGGTTGCATGTCAATCAACCACGTGTCCATGTTTTGAGGACTGCAAGCACTCGATTCCTAAAAAGTTACATGCTAAATTAATTAATTCGGTTCGAATCGAATTCTTTCAACAACAAAAAATTACCCAGATTCTTCGTTGAAAAGCTTGTGACACAATTTGACCGACATCCTCGTCAAACTCCATTTTCTCCTGCTCTCCTTGCGGAAAGGACCAATATTGTAAGGAGGAGCCGGCGAGAATCAAAACCCTCGATCCCTTCTCTCCGAAATTTGTGCAAATAACCTTGACTAATTTCTGAAAACGAAAAGCAAGAATTATTAATTAAATTCAAAAGAATTTATTTGAAAATAATTAAAAATATTACGTTCATCAATAATAAGAATAAATACAATAAATTACTAAATAATTGATTTGAAAACATGTAGCAAAAAATAGCTTTGAGACTGAAAAAATAGTAAAAAGTAGCTATAGAAAAATTAAATTTAACGATTGAAAAAACACGTTTTCGTCGATTCAATATACAAACAAAGTAAGATACTTTATTCAGAATTATTAAAAAAATTTGATTATATGTATTTTTCTGATTTCCAGAAAGAATATTAACTTCTTTTCTTATTAAGAGAATAATTTCAATTTTAAATTTTTGTAAAATTCAATTATTTTCCAAATTTTTAGTTAGAATTCTTCAAAAATATGATTATATTTAAAAATAATTTTTAAAGGGAAGAAATAAAATTTTTTAAAATAGAAAATTTATTATTTGGCAAAATTTTCAATTAATTGGAATTTTAAATTAATCTTTTCAAATTATTTACGCGAATTTAACTAACTTGAAATAATCATAATTACAATTTTGCAAGAATAATTTTTTTGACTTGAATAATTTTTGTTAAATAAATATATTCATAATTGAATTCTTTCAAAGAATTTTTACGAAATTTTTAAAAATAATAATTGAATTTTTCCAGGAATTCTATTAAAATTGTATTGAAAATATATAAATTCCTACAAAGAATTTGATTACTTATGAAAATAGTTCAATTCTTACAACGAATTTTATTGAAATCTTTTTAAATAATTGAATTTTTTTGGAGAATTGTTTTAAACATTTTTTAAATATGTAATTAAATTTTTTCCAGCAATTTAATTTCAATTATATTAAAAATAATTGAATTCTTGCGATGAATTTTATTATTTGCGAAAATAATTGAAATCTTACAACGAATTTTATAACAAATTTTTAAAAAATTAAATACTTGAGAAAATGTTTATTAAAATTTTAGAAAATAATTGAGTTTTCTTGAGTAATTTTTTATTGGAAATTTTAAGAATAATTGGATTCTTTCGGAGAATTTTATAAACATTTTTTTAAATAATTAATTTTTTTGGAAAAATTTTATAAAAATTGTAATTTTAATAATTGAATTTCTGTGAAAATTTTATTGTTTATGAAAATAATAAAATTCTTATAAGGAAATTTATCAAAATTAATTTAAATAATTGAATTTTTTCGAAGAATGTTAATAAAATTTTTAAGAATAATTGCATTTTTCGAAAAATTTATTTAAAATTCTATTAAAAAGAATTTAAAACCTGCGTGAATATGAATAATTGTATTAAAATTTTTATAATTTACTTTTTTATTCAAAATTCAAAAAATAATAGAATACTTTCGGAATTTAATTACAATTATATTGAAAATAGATGAATTCATAGAAAGAAATTTTATCAAAATTATTCAAAATAATTCATTTCTTTCGGAAAAATTTTATAAACATTCTTTTTAAATAAATAAATTAGTTTTTTTTTTGTAAAAATTATATTTTAAATTGAATTGTCGTAAAAATTGTATTATTTATGAAAATAATTCAATTTTTGCGAAGAATTTTATAAAATATTATTTTAAATAATTTAATTCTTTTGTGAAATTTTATTAAAATTGTATTGAAATTATATAATTGAATTCATTAAAGAAATTGTATTAAAATTGTATTGAAATTATATAATTGAATTCATTAGAGAGATTTTATTAAAATTATATTTAAAATAATTGAATTCTAGCGAAAAATGTTCTTCAAATTTTTTGAATTGTTTCTAAGAATATTATTAAAATATGTGAAAATAACTTTTGTATTGTAACTATTAGCGGATTTAAAATATTGCAAATGAAATAATTATTACCGTTTCCGTAACAGGAGATTGTGGTATTGCTCCAAAAATAAGAGAAGACATTCTTCGACCGATTCCACCAAGCCATCCTTGACTTGTACGCAAAACACGACAAGAAATTGTATTTTTTCCATTCACAAATTGTGGCTGAAGAAGGGCAACCGTACAAGTTGTTGTGGCAAGAATGCAACCATGACCAGGAACATAAGTCAAACAATCGACCTCTTGACCGGCGAGTTCGGCACTAGTTTCTACCGATGAGCCCTCGTGAGATACACTCGTCCAAAATCTAACAACTCCTTCTGGTGAAACTGCCATACAACTCGGAACCTAATAAATTATTCACAAGTTTTTTCTATTTAATATTTTTTTAATATTAATATTAATTAAGTAATCGAATATAAAATATTCACAAGTTTTTTAAAAATATTTTATTAATTTTAATTAAATAATCGAATATCAATTGTTACGAATTTTATTTTTTAAAATATTCAAACCTGGTGTCCGGGCGGAAGCCAGACAGCAATACATTCTGCCTTGTGTGCGAGATCACTTTGAGGCAAAAGAAGTTCGCGACACTGACTTTTAAACGTTCGCCTTTGTTTGATGTCGTGAATTGTTGTTTTACACTGCCAGACAAGTAGACGTCGTCCACATACAAGCCATACCCATCCATCCACCGAGACTCCGACACTGACAGCGGCATTTCGATCAACAAATGTCAGTGTCTCAGTCACCAAGACCGGCAAAGACGATCCAAAATTTTCCACTATGTGACCAGCAGTTCGACAGATAATCTGTGTCGACTGATTTGAACGTCCCGATACACTCAAAGTACTAAAAAAAATATTTAACTCCAAAAGATCAAAAATTTTCTATAAACAATTTACACCCGGTAACATAACCTATAATTCGAAAAAATAACAATACAGAATCGAGTCAAATTCTTCAAAACAATATTAAGTTTACCCTTAGTGTCTAATTTCTCGGTAAATAAATTTGAGCTAAAGAAGAAATGAAGAGCTAAAGAAAAAGAAAATATATACTTACGAACTATTTCTTTTTAAAGATTGTACCATTGGCACTCGTTTTCTAGGTGAATTAAAACTTTTACCAATCAAACCTCCGATACTTTTTCGATCCATTTTTATATTTATTCTAAATTCTAACTAATTTATCGACAATAATTACAAAAAGACACTATAAACAATTTATTAAATAAAAATATATCAAAATTGTGCAATCAGTCAGTGATGCTTTACGATCATTTAAAGGTTATGTTTCCACGATGACGGCAAAATACGCGCCTTTAAAATTTAAAACACCCTGTTAAATTCACAATGCGCATGTGCAAATGAAGGAAAATTTTCCTATTGGTCGAGGCAATTTGCGCGAAAACTTGAATTGCGACCTTTTTTCCATGTTTCAAATAAGCGCGCCATGTTTCGACCAATGAGATTGAAGAGCTTTCCGAGAATGACCGATCGTCGTCGAATGTTGTCGACACATTTTTTGTTTGACAGTTGGTCATTGTAGAAAGCTCCAAAATTCCAAATTCGTAGAAGAGTGCACTGCATATTATATCTTTTTGTTTGTAGAAATTTTAATTTTTATTGCCAGTGTTTAGTGCCATAGTGTATATTATTCTAGTTTATTATCATAATAACATTAAATGCAATGGAATCGGAGACAATTAGTGATTTGGTACAGAAGATGGTTGTATCTCTTTGTGGAGAGCAGAAACCAGGTAAGGTTATGTTTTTGTTTTATATTCGAGAATAAGAAGATTTTCAATAATTTTAATAAACAATTTGATTCATTTAGGCGAGAATTCAGGATAAAATTGCAATTATATTACATAAAGAATTATACTATTCGGGGTAAAAGATTAATTTCTGTAAATCTCTCAATTATTTGAATATTGGCAATGTTTCTTTGCATTTTTAAATAATAATTGGTTTACTATTGAAATAATTTCTTTTAGTTATGTCTGGTTATGTCTATTTATCCAGTTTTTAAGAAAACAATTAGATTTCAAATTATTATGATACACAGACTTTTTCCGATGTAAAAATAATTTGATTTTTATATGGGTCAAATAATGCGAATTTTATTATTGATAATAATTGAGTAAACATTTTTCTAAAAAAATAAATTATATTATATAGATGTTGTTCGGAGATTTTTGAGATTTTCCCTGGGCGTACTTTCTTCGACACAAGGAGTGGGAACAGTACGCGAGGATGAAGTGACAATTGCTTCTCAAATAAGAGGGAAATTATCTGCAAAGGATGCTGTGCAGTTTGACAAATTGCACAATGATTTAAAAGACGGGGTAAAAATAAGTGCCGAATATTTATAATTTTTATGATATTTTTTTATTAATAATATTTTTAATATTTACAGGGATCGCAGTAACGATTTTTTAATAACAAAATTTACAATTTTCAATGTTAATTTTTGTACAAAAATTATTCAAATATAGAACAATATTTTTACTTAATTTGAAAATTTCCTTTCTTTAAACTGAATTTTCTTTTTGAAAATTAAAATCCCTTTTTTCTACCAAATATTACATGAAACAATCACTGTGATCCTTGTATTTATGTTTAAAAACAGTTTCAATATTTATTTTATTCATTAAAAATAACTAATTGATTTAATTAATTAATTGTTGACAGCCTTTGAAAAATCGCCTGAACGTGTTGATATTTCTTCTAAATTTAGGCCAAACAGAAGAGCAAATTAAAGAAAAGGTTTTCTCCTTTCCTGACATGAGATTAGGACTGAATTTGCCAATTGCATCCACAAGTGGTAATTAATTTTTAACTGTTTTGAATTTTAAAATTAATGTATTAAGATCATTGAACTCTGGAAAAGAATTTAATTAAAATTATATTTTGAAAATAATTGAATTCTATAGAGACGAATTTTATTATTTATGAAGATAATTGAAATCTTGAGAAGAATTATATTACAGTAGAGACTCCATTATCCGGACCCCTATTATCCGGATATTCGATTATCCGGACAAATTTAAAATAAAATTTTTTTTTTAATATAAAGTTTATAAGGTCTCAAGCCGTTAATTAACTTCTATTTTAAATTTATTTACACGAAATGTTGCGTTTTAAAGTGTTTTAATTATGTTAAGAAAATGTTTATGTAAATATTTTGAAATATTTCTAACTAAATATTTATTAATGTTGACTTTAAAAGTTTTATTTTGTTTCAGTCTTATTTTAATACATATGCAAATAAATACATAAAATTATGAATAAAAAATTTGTTTAATTCGTACTTTACTCGATTATCCGGATTTTTGATTATCCGGACAAGTGCCTGCATCCATTAGTCCGGATAATGGAGTCTCTACTGTATTTATGAAATTAATTGAATTCTTTACAGAATTTTATTACAATTTTTCAAAATAACTAAATTTTTCCTAACTATCCATATATATTGAATTTTTTTCTTTTTATTTTTGAAAATAATTGAATTTTTAGGAAGAAATTTATGAAAATCTTCGAAAATAATTGAATTCTTGCAAAAAATTTTATAAAACTTTTTGAAAATATTAAACAATAAGAATAAATTATGTACTTAATAATTGAATTTTTTTAATTTTGTATCTAAAATTATTCAAAAATCAGGCCTCGGATAATTATGACTTTTTCGACTTTTTTCGACTATTTTCAAATAATGCGACTTTTATCGACTTATATTAAAAAATTGCGACTTTTCCTCCAAATTTTGCAACAAAATACCATATTTTTTTAGTATAAAATGCAACTTATTTCGTTTTTTATAATGTGAAAATTTATTTTTGAATAATTTTTCTAATTAAATTTTTGAAATATACAATTAAAAAGATTTGGAATAATTTAAATTTTTTAAAATTTAATTGAAAATAAATTATTTTTTCCAGTATATTATTAAAAATTTTTGAAAATTAACTTTCAAAGAATTTTAATTGAAAAATTTGGAAATAATTGAATTCTCAAAAATTTTAATGAATAATCTTCAAAGTGTAAATTCAATAAAAATGAAAATTAATGAAAATTAGGTTCTAAAAATAATATTTAAATAGTTTTGAAAAAGTAATTCTCTGAATTATTTCGTTCTAATTTTTTAAAATTGAATTATTTTCAATATTTTCAACAATATTTCTAAAAATTCAAATTATACATACAGAAAATAACATTAAAATTTTTTAGAATTACTTTTAACATTTTGGAGAAAATAATCATGTTCAAAATTTTAAATTAAAATTCTTCAAAAAATTATTTTTTTTAAAATTATATAAAAATTTTTATATAATTCTTAGAATTATAATTTCTTAGAATTGTTTTATTTATAATTTTTTAAGATTCAATTTCCTTTGAACAAAGTAAATTAAAATTTTTAAAAATTGACTATTTTAGATTTTTTGAGAAATTATTTATAATTAAAATTCTTCAAAAATTTGATTATTTTTTTATATTTTTAAAAAAATCAATTATTTTTAAAAGATTTGATCAAATTATTAATTTAAATTATTTTTTAAAGATTTTACCAAATATCAATTATTTTTAAAAAGATTTTACCAAATTTAAATTTTTTGTACATTTTTTAATTGTATGTAATTGTAAAAATATTGTCTTTCAAAAATTTTTGGAAATATTTTTAAAAAGTTAATTTTACGAATTTCTGTATTAAAATTTTTGAAAATATTCTACCTTAATATCTTTAAAAAGAAAAATGGACTGTTTCAATCTATATATATAAAATCAGACTTTTGTCTGTACATTGCTCAGAACTTTAAATTTCGCACATAATTATTCGTTTTAGGCATCAAGGATTCCAAATATACCAATAAAAAGTTTCGTGTATGTATGTATGTATGTATGTATGTATGTATGTATGTATGTATGTATGTATGTATGTATGTATGTGTGTCGGTATGTCACAGAATCTTTGTTCGCGCATCACTTAAAAACTGCTGAACCATTTGAAACCAAATTTGGCAGAATGTTAGACCTTGGGCCAAGGAAAGTTTATAAATTTACAGATTTGAAAAATATTAATTAGAACGGGAGATATTCAATTTTTTCGAAAAATTCAAAAATTTTCAAATTTTACATTTTTTTAAAAAATGCTTTCAAACTTTCTATAATTGAGTATAACATGTTATTTAGTCACATTTTAGAATAGTTTTGCCAAAAATAATGTCCTATAACTAAGATGTAAGTATAAAATTTTTTTTTAAAAATTCAAAAAATCGAAATTTTTCAAATTTTATATTTTTTAATGAATTGCTTTTAAACACTGTATAATTGAGTATTACATGTTATTTAGTCACATTTTCGCATAATTTTGCACAAAAAATGATATGACTAAGATGTAAGTATAAAAATATTTTCGATATCAACAAAACGAAAAAATTATAATTGTTATTAATTACTATCAAGTTTAATTCAGTAGTATTTTTAAGGTCTCTGATTAAGATTTTGACGTCAAAATAATGCAATTCATAATTATTTATCCAATTCATTCAGTATTATTTAATTGAAAGAAGTTCAGAGACTTTAAAAATGGAGATGTTTTATAATAAATATTTTATGATAATTTTCCATAATTTTAGATTTTTTGCCAAAGAATGGAGACTATTAAATAAGTAAAATATTTTTTAAGAGCACAAAAATAATAAAGCTAAATGCCATAAAAAAGAAAGAAAAATATTGAATTTTAAGAAATTCGGTTTTTTGAATTTTTGCAAATTTTCTATAATTTATATTTTTTACCAAAGGTTGGAGACTATTAAATAAGTAAAGTATTTTTGAAGAGCACAAAAATAATGAAGCTAAATGCCATAAAAAAGAAGGAAAAATATTGAATTTTAAGAAATTCGGTTTTTTGAATTTTTGCAAATTTTCCATAATTTATATTTTTTACCAAAGGTTGGAGACTATTAAATAAGTAAAGTATTTTTGAAGAGCACAAAAATAATGAAGCTAAATGCCATAAAAAAGAAGAAAAAATATTGAATTTTAAGAAATTCAGGTTTTTGAATTTTTACTAATTTTCCATAATTTTAGATTTTTTGCCAAAGGGTGGAGACTATTAAATAAGTAAAGTATTTTTAAAAGCACAAAAATAATGAAGGTAAAAGCCATAAAAGAAGGAAAAATGTTGAATTTTAAGAAATTCAGTTTTTTGAATTTTTGCTAAGTAATTTATCATAATTTTAGATTTTTTACGAAAGGGTGGAGATAACAAATTAAGTAAAGTATTTTTTAAGAGCACAAAAATAATAAAGCTAAATGCCATAAGAAAGAAGGAAAAATGTTGAATTTTAAGAAATTTGGTTTTTTAAATTTTTGCTAATTTTCCATAACTTTAGATTTTTTACCAAAGCGTAGAGATAACAAATTAAGTACAGTATTTTTGAAGAGCACAAAAATAATGAAGCTAAATGCCATAAAAAAGAAGAAAAAATGTTGAATTTTAAGAAATTTGGTTTTTTAAATTTTTGCTAATTTTCCATAATTTTAGATTTTTTACAAAAGGGTGGAGAATTTCAAATAAGTAAATTATTTTTGAAGAGCACAAAAATAATGAAGCTAAATGCCATAAAAAAAGAAGAAAAAATGTTGAATTTTAAGAAATTTGGTTTTTTAAATTTTTGCAAATTTTCTATAATTTATATTTTTTACCAAAGGTTGGAGACTATTAAATAAGTAAAGTATTTTTGAAGAGCACAAAAATAATGAAGCTAAATGCCATAAAAAAGAAGGAAAAATATTGAATTTTAAGAAATTCGGTTTTTTGAATTTTTGCAAATTTTCCATAATTTATATTTTTTACCAAAGGTTGGAGACTATTAAATAAGTAAAGTATTTTTGAAGAGCACAAAAATAATGAAGCTAAATGCCATAAAAAAGAAGAAAAAATATTGAATTTTAAGAAATTCAGGTTTTTGAATTTTTACTAATTTTCCATAATTTTAGATTTTTTGCCAAAGGGTGGAGACTATTAAATAAGTAAAGTATTTTTAAAAGCACAAAAATAATGAAGGTAAAAGCCATAAAAGAAGGAAAAATGTTGAATTTTAAGAAATTCAGTTTTTTGAATTTTTGCTAATTTTCCATAACTTTAGATTTTTTATCAAAGCGTAGAGATAACAAATTAAGTACAGTATTTTTGAAGAGCACAAAAATAATGAAGCTAAATGCCATAAAAAAGAAGGAAAAATGTTGAATTTTAAGAAATTCAGTTTTTTGAATTTTTGCTAAGTAATTTATCATAATTTTAGATTTTTTACGAAAGGGTGGAGATAACAAATTAAGTAAAGTATTTTTTAAGAGCACAAAAATAATAAAGCTAAATGCCATAAGAAAGAAGGAAAAATGTTGAATTTTAAGAAATTTGGTTTTTTAAATTTTTGCTAATTTTCCATAACTTTAGATTTTTTACCAAAGCGTAGAGATAACAAATTAAGTACAGTATTTTTGAAGAGCACAAAAATAATAAAGCTAAATGCCATAAGAAAGAAGGAAAAATGTTGAATTTTAAGAAATTTGGTTTTTTAAATTTTTGCTAATTTTCCATAATTTTAGATTTTTTACCAAAGCGTAGAGATAACAAATTAAGTACAGTATTTTTGAAGAGCACAAAAATAATGAAGCTAAATGCCATAAAAAAGAAGAAATGTTGAATTTTAAGAAATTTGGTTTTTTAAATTTTTGCTAATTTTCCATAATTTTAGATTTTTTACCAAAGCGTAGAGATAACAAATTAAGTACAGTATTTTTGAAGAGCACAAAAATAATGAAGCTAAATGCCATAAAAAAGAAGAAAAAATATTGAATTTTAAGAAATTTGGTTTTTTAAATTTTTGCTAATTTTCCATAACTTTAGATTTTTTACCAAAGCGTAGAGATAACAAATTAAGTACAGTATTTTTGAAGAGCACAAAAATAATAAAGCTAAATGCCATAAGAAAGAAGGAAAAATGTTGAATTTTAAGAAATTTGGTTTTTTAAATTTTTGCTAATTTTCCATAATTTTAGATTTTTTACCAAAGCGTAGAGATAACAAATTAAGTACAGTATTTTTGAAGAGCACAAAAATAATGAAGCTAAATGCCATAAAAAAGAAGAAATGTTGAATTTTAAGAAATTTGGTTTTTTAAATTTTTGCTAATTTTCCATAATTTTAGATTTTTTACCAAAGCGTAGAGATAACAAATTAAGTACAGTATTTTTGAAGAGCACAAAAATAATGAAGCTAAATGCCATAAAAAAGAAGAAAAAATATTGAATTTTAAGAAATTCGGTTTTTTGAATTTTTGCTAATTTTCCATAATTTTAGATTTTTTACAAAAGGGTGGAGAATTTCAAATAAGTAAATTATTTTTGAAGAGCACAAAAATAATGAAGCTAAATGCCATAAAAAAAGAAGAAAAAATGTTGAATTTTAAGAAATTTGGTTTTTTAAATTTTTGCTATAATTTTCCATAATTTTAGATTTTTTACCAAAGCGTAGAGATATCAAATTAAGTAAAGTATTTTTGAAGAGCACAAAAATAATGAAGCTAAATGCCATAAAAAAGAAGAAAAAATGTTGAATTTTAAGAAATTCGGTTTTTTGAATTTTTGCTAATTTTCCATAATTAAAAATTAATATAGGTAGATAATAGATTTAGAGATGAAGTTTAGTTAAAAGTTGTAGAAAATAATTGAATTTTCGTAAGGGCTATGGTCTTAATTTTTAGAAATTATTAAATTTCTGAAGTTGAAATTTTTCTAATTGTATTTCCTGTGAAAAAAGAAATAAGAAGTATTTAAATATTTATTTATCAAAATTATTCAAGTTTGCATTAATTCAATTTAGAAATCAGTGAAGAATCAGGGAAATACGAAATAAAATTTTTTCTGACAATACTGAATTAAATAAACGACTTTTTCGACTTTTTTTCTATTTTTAATCGACTAAAGCGACTTTTTTTTGCTCGTTAAAGTCGATCCAAGGTCTGAAAAATTGAAGTTTACATTTGAAAATAACAAATTTTGAATTTTAAATACCAAATGAATTTTTTCAGCACACTCTTCGCAATCTTCTTGTTCTCAAGGACTAATTGTACCATTAGGAAGTACAGATTCAAATTTACGTTGCCTAACGACAAGCATAAGTAGAATTTTCAATGAGGACTGCATTTCCGAAGATATTCTAGTTCAAGACTTGATTTATTCATTCCAAGGCATTGAGGGGAAAGTACTGAAACTGGATTCTAATTTTGGTTTTCAAATCGATCCACTCGCAAAAGTTAATAGATCGCAAAAGCAGGCACTTTTGAGATTGAGTGAACTTGGTTACTTACATAATGTTGTGAGAAGAGGATTGGAACGAATGACGAAAAGTGGAAGCGGACGTGTTGTCGACAGTTTCGTTGCTACCATTCATAAAGAATTGTCGGAATATTACAGGTTTATTGCAATAATACAAGAAGAAGTCAATAGGTAAATTTCCCCTGCTTTTTTGAAAAATACTCCTAATTACAAGTTTATTACTTAATTAATCTTAATACTAATTATGTTAATTAATTTACCTAATTAAAAATTTTTGTTGTTTTTTAAATTTAAATCGATTTTTTTTATCTATCAACAACTATTTCTTTTCAGAGGACACAATTCTCTCGGTCTGGACGGTGTAACTCTGTCTCATCTTCACCTTTGGGCTTTCGATCCTCTACAGACTCTAAAACGTCTCGCGAGCATTGTGAACGTTTGTCAGAGTCAAAAAGGCGGTGCCTTGGCTTCTGCAGTTTATGAATTTAATCATCATGGCGACACTGTGGTGAAGACTCTTGTGAAGAGAATTTTAGAGAGTGTTTGCCATCCACTTTATAATATGCTGATGCGATGGATCACAGACGGGGAACTTGACGATCCGTATCAGGAATTTTTCATTGAAGCTCGAGCCGATGTTGCTGGCGATAGAATGTGGCATGAAAAATATCAAGTGAGAAATGCAATGGTGCCAACGTTCATCAGTAAATCGCAAGCTAAAAAGATCCTTGGAACTGGAAAGAGTATAAACTTTTTGCGAGAAGTTTGTAAAGATTTCACTCCACTCAAGGGAAGGGACATGGAGGCTTTTAGTGAGGAGAACGAAAAATATGGTAGATATTTTTTAATTTAGTTGACATTTCAAATTCAGGGCTCGAACTGGGTCCGTAAATCCCGTAAAGATCCGTAAATTTTGTTCAAGTCCGTAAAAGTCAGTTTTTTTAAAAAGAAAAAAGGTCCGTAGAGTCCGTAATTTAATAGAAAAAGAACGAAAAGTTCGTAAATTGTACGATATAATTTAAAGAATTTTAGAGAAATTACAAATATTACAAATGATTGCAGAAATTCAATTATTGTTAAAAGTAATAAAATTCTTCGCTGAAATTCAATTATGTTTAAAATTTTTTTAAATTCTCGTCAAAATTTCAATTAATTTTAAAAATAATAAAATTCTTGGCAAAATTTTAATTATTTAAAAATATTTTCCTCAATTCCATGATTTTTCAATATCTACTATTTTAGTCAAATTAGATATCCAAAAGAATTCAATTATTTTCAAAAATTTTAATAAAATTCTACGCAAACATTTAATTATTTTCTTTAAAAAATAAAAATTTCACAGGAATTCAGTTATTTACTAATTTTTTTTTATAAATTTCTTTTAAATAATTCAATTATTTTCATAAATAATAAAATTTTTAGTAATTCAATTATTTTCGTAAATAAAATTCTTTTTAGAAATTCAATTATTTTCAAAAATAATAAAACTCAATGCTGAATTTGAATTATTTTTAATACAATTTTTATGGAATTCCTCGAGAAGTCTAATTATTCTTAAAACATTTATTAAAATTCGTCGAAAGAATTCAATTATTTAAAAATTTCTTGGTAAAATTCTTTAAAAGAATTCAATTATTCAATAAATTATTTATTTTTGTATTTAAATAATTGAATTCTAGTGGAATTTTCTAATAAAAATTGATTTATAAATGAATTTTAGTAATAATTCTAGATTATAATTGAATATTAAAAACATTATAGCGTGAATTTTTAGAAATAATTGAATTTTAAAAAGGTTTTAAATTAAAATCTTGGAAAAGCTGTATTTTTAATACTTTTTATTAACAATTCTGTAGAAGAATGAATTATTTTGAAAAAATTTCCTTCAATTTTACTTGAAATTATTTTTTTAATGTTTTTATTTTCTAATATATATATTTAATTGAAGAATTACCGAATAATTGAAGTTTTGTAAAATTGAATTGTAAACAAATTGAAAATTCTCAAGGAACTTTTTCAAAAATTATTAAAAACAATGAAGAATTTTAGTTAAAAACACCAAAAAAATTTAATTTTGGAGAAACTCCAAATTATTGCAGAAATTCAATTATTTTCAAGAATAATAAAATACTTCGCAGAAATTTAATTATGTTAAAAAATAATAAAATTCTTTTTAGGAATTCAATTATTTTTATAAATAATACAATTTATCGCAGAATTTCAATTATTTTTAATACAATTATTAATACAAGTTTCTCGAAAAATATAATTATTCTGAAAAATTTTATTAAAATTCTTCAAAAGAATTCAATTATTTAAAAATTTATTGATAAAATTCTTTATGAGAATTCAATTTTAAGAAACATTCAATCATTTAATAAATTATTTATTTTTGTATTTAAATATAAAATAAATTTTTAAATAAAAAATTTTATTAAAATTCATCAAAAGAATTCTATTAGGTATTTAAAAATTTATTGATTAAATTTTTTATGAGAATTCAATTTCAAGAAACATTCAATTATTCAATATTTTATTTATTTTTGTATTTAAATAATTGAATTCTAGTGGAATTTTCTAATAAAAATTGATTTAAAGATGAATTTTCGGTAAAATTTTAGATATTAATTATAAATATTGAAATCAATGCAATATAGCTTGAATTTTTAGAAAGAATTGAATTTTGAAATTAATTTTTTTGAAAAAGTTTAATTGAATTTTTTTAATATTATTTGAAGTTTTTATTTTTTAATATATATTTAATTGAAGAATTTACAAAATTACGAATAATTGAAATTTCGTAAAATTGAATATTGTAAACAAATGAATTTGAAAATTGTCAAAGAAATTTTTTGAAAATTATTCAAAATAATTGATTTAAAGAAGAATTTTAGTTAAAAATTCTTGAAACTAATAATTGAATTGAAATGATGCAAATAATTGTGAAAAAGTACAATATTTTTATAATATATCACTGAGAAAACGATTTATTTGATTCAAACGTATTTTGTTTAAATCAAACTTAAAATATCTTTGCTATACAGTCAAACATATTTAAGTTTAATTCAAACATACTTTTTGGTTCATTTAAGGAAATAATATATTTAATTCAAACATATGTTATGGTTGATTTTAAATTATTTATAATCAACTTTTAAGTTAGAATCAAACATAAAATTTTTTAACAAAATTTTTGTTTAAATCAAAACAGAAAATATCTTTGAATTTTAACAATTTGACATCTTTAGTTATCTTCATGTTTTATAGTTACTAAGTTATGAAAAATTTAATTTATAGTTTTAAGTAAAATGTTTTCTTATTTGACTCGGACTGGTAGTAATTTTGTCAGTAATTGGTCCGTAATTTTTAATTTTTGGTCCGTAAAGTCCGTATTTTTAAATACTTTCACTGGTTCGAGTTCTGCAAATTTAATTTCGAATAAAGTTAAATGATTATTGTAATTTACAGTGGATTATAAATAATTTGTGCGATATTTAGTGTAATTGCTGTATTTTTTATTTATTTTTTGTGTACACTTGTCCTCATTTAAAAAAAAATACTTTTTCTTTTATTTTTACTAATTAACGAGTGTGAAACTATTTATTTATTGAAAATTTTGTTTCAGTGGAAGCATTTTTCGATATGGATCCTGATGGACAGCTGCAAACAATGATGGATGCTGCATACAAAGAAACCTCGACGAGAGTTGTTGAGATATTGACAAAACAGTATCATCTTATGGATCACTTACAGGGTATTAAAGGCTATTTATTGCTTGGTCAAGGGCATTTTGTTCAGCATCTCATGCATTTAATAGAGTAAGTTGATTTTTTTTGCAAAATTTTTAAACCAGGAGTATTTAATTAGAATTGTTTCAAATATTTAGATCTTAGATATTTATTTTAGATATTTAGTCAACTAATTGATTAAACCATTCAAATTTTTATTCTAAATGTTATATTTTCCCCAGACCTGAATTGGCAAAACCTGCTAATTCTCTTTATCCGCACAATTTATCGTCAATTTTGGAAACAGCTCTCAGAGCAACAAGTACAAAATTAGAGGATGCCGATGTTCAGAGGCGGCTTGATGTCAGATTGTTAACATCTTCGGAGAATGAAACCGGTTGGGATGTTTTTGCTCTCGATTACAACTTCGATGAACCCATTGGAACGGTAATTGATTATAGATAGAATTTTGCATTTCTTTTCAAACTATTTTCAAATTACGTACTTTAAAATTCTTTATCTTTTTATTTTATTTATTTACAATGAAAATTCGTTTTATTTTTCTTAATTCGTCAACTGTTGTCTCTAAATGTCTATTTTTCGTACTATGTACTATGTTTTCTTTTTTTCATTGTTGTGTGAATAAATTTTCAACCTTTCGTTCAAAAATAGGAAAAATTACTTTTCTTTGCCACTGAGAAAGTATTTTTGATTTACAATAATATTTTTAATGACAATAATTTTACTGATCAAAGCAGAATAAGAGGCAATTTGACCATTTTATTTTATTTAAATGTAAACGAAAATTTTGCAATAAATAAATATAAAAAAAATAAAATATAATAATAATATATATTATATAATATTATATAATATATTATATAATAATAATATAATAAAAATAAAATATAAAATAAATAAAAAATAAAATATAAAAATAATAATAAATTATTATTAATTTTGCTTTCAGATTCTCGAGCCTTGCCGACAGACGTATCAAACCGTATTTTTCTTACTGTGGCGAGCTAAGCGAATGGAAACAATTTTATCGGCAATTTGGAAACAGCAAATAACCTCGGCGAAAATGTTTAGAAAAATGCCCGAAGTCTTGCCAATTCAGAATCATATTCATCTAATTACAAGCAGTATGGTGCATTTGGTTCATCAGATGCAATATTATTTTCTCTTTGAAGTTATCGAGTGTTCGTGGGACGTTTTTACAACTCAATTGGGACAAGCTTCATCCCTCGATGAGATAATTACGGCTCACAATCATTTTGTCGATTCAGTGAGAAGGGGAACTCTTTTAGATGAAAACTCTCGGGTAAGTTTATTCCAAAAGCAAATTCTTCTCCGAAATTCAATTATTTTCAAAAATTATAATAAAATTCTTCACAAAATTCAATTATTTTCAAAAATTTTCTTTAATTCAATGATTTTCACAGGAATTCAATTATTTACAAATTTTTAAATAAATTTCTTATATAGTTTTAATAAATAATAAAAATTTCACAGGAATTCAATTATTTACAAATTTCTTAATAAATTTTTTCGCAATAATTTCATTATTTTCATAAATAATAAAATTTTTTACTGTGTTTCAATTATTTTCAGAAATAATGAAACTCATCCCAGAAATTCAATTAGTTTTAATTCAATTTCAATTGAATTCCTCGAAAAATGTAATTATTCTTAATAAGTTTATTAAAATTCGTCGAAGGAATTCAATTATTTAAAAATTTGTTGCTAAAATTCTTTACAAGAAATTCAATTTTCAGAAATATTCAATTATTCAATGAATTGTTTATTTTTTATTTAAATAGTTGAATTCTCGTAGATTTTTCTAATAAAAATTGATTTAAAAATGAATCTTAGTTAAAATTTTGGATAATAATTGAATATTAAAAGCATTATAGCGTGAATTTTTAGAAAGAATTGAATTTTGAAAAGGTTTCAAATTAAAATCTTGGAAATAATGTATTTTTAATACTTTTAATTAACAATTCTGTACAACAAAATTTTTTTGAAAAATTTTAATCCTGATTTTTTTTGTTGAAATTATTAGAATTCTCTATTTTTTAATAATATATTTAAATAACGAATTTCCTAATAATTGAAATTTAATAAAATTGAATTGTTAAAAATAGTGTATTTCAAAATTAATTTAGTCAAACTTTCTTCATTCTTTGAATAATTGGATTCTCAAAGAACTTTGTCTAAAATTATTAAAAATAATTCATTTAGAGAAGAATTTTAGTTAATTCCAGAAAATTGAATTGAAATCATAAAAATAATTTTGAAGAATTTATACCAGCAATTTTTATAAATTAGCAAATTTGAAAAGTTTGAAATTAAAAATTTTTGAAAATCTTATTTCATATGGAAAAATAATAATAGTTAAATATTTATTTTAAAAAGAAGTTATCGATATTCTTGAATAATTTTAAAACTAAAGAAAAACGTAAATAAAAATATTAGAAAATTTTTTTTCAAGTATCTAATCATTTTTAGAGTGAATCAGAATATTTTTTACAGTCAGGGAAAAAAGTCAAAATTCTTTCTTGGAAATCAGGAAAATCACAATTAAATTTTTGTATCATTCTCGGAATTCTTTCTATTTTTTAACTTTAAAATAATAGTTTATTGAAATTTTATTTTATTTTCAGGAATTAAGGGATCATTTGCGATCAGTGTACAGTCCAATTCTCGATTTGCAAAACCTCGAGGATACATTTTTGACTCGTGCAATGCAAGAATATGAAGCAAGATCAAAGTCGGAGAAAAAAATTGTCGATACACATGAACAAGTTAGTAAATGGGGTCGATCGGTGAAGACAGATGCGGACAATATAGAACGACAGAATGCATTTAATAAATACCTTTCAACGCTTTCTCGTCAATTAAAAGTTCTCTCTGCAACGTATCAAGTAAGTGCTAATTTTATTCCTAACGATGAAAATTTTACAGCAAGCTATTTTCAATTTTTCCTTTTGTTTTCTATTTTTCATTTTTTTGAAATAGAAATTTAATTTAAATTTTGTTGAAATCTTTGTTAAAATCACTTTTAAGATTTCTTTTAAAATCTATTTTAAAATCTTTTTTAAAATCTATTTTGAAAATTTGTTTATATATATTTTTAAATGTGAAACTTTTGCAATTAAACTTGGTCTCCAACTACTAATTGAGTATTAATGAACTTCTTTTCTTTTTTACATTGCAGGATCGCGTCAAAAAGTTTCTCTTAATGTTGGCGTCAGCAGAAAATGTTTCCCTTCAACTTTTAAGCGTTCGTCTGGATTTCAATGAATATTACAAAAGCAAGGACAGTCGTTTAGTTGCTCCACTGACATATCAGCATCGAAGGCAAAGCGATCAATCGTTCCTCTCTTGCAAGTGACAGTCGTCGGCAAAATTTGATAAAATTCCCCTTACAGATTCTATTTGTAATAAAACGTATTCTGCAAAATCCTGTACTACTTGGGCCGAGAGCTTAAGTATTTTCGAGGAAAGCCTTTCTTCTCTTGTTGCGAGAAGAAAAAATGTTTCTAATATTGATATTTTAGAGGAAAAATTTTCGATTGAAGAAACAAAGGATAGTTCATCTGATGGAAATTCAGATGTTTGGTTTCGTATTTCACGATTACATTTTTTACCTTTGGATGAAATGAAGGTATCGGAAGTATTGTCGAAAGATTGTGAAATAATAGAGAAGAATAATAGTGGAAATTTAGAATTTTTTGAAAATCATGAAAATCATTTTGATAAATCTTTACGAAATTCGAACAATCTTGAAGAGAATATTTTTGATTCTAGTATTATTGAGAGGAGGAAATTGTTGTCGAGTTCAGTGTCGTCGTCTCTTACGAAATTTGAATGTTTAAGTGAAAATGCCTCATCATTTGCTAGTGATAATTGTAATTCGGAGAAATATTTATTTGGCGATAGAGAGAGAATTATTAATAACGAAAAAAATAAGAAGAGACGTAAAATTATTTTCTGTTGTTTAGGATAATTTCACTTCTCATGCCGGAATCATTGCCAAGCTGAGTGTCTTTCTTTTTAGATTTATGTCGTTTATTCCATCCATATTTTTGTCACAAGAAGTATTCTTAATTAGTTGCTTTATTAACTATTAACTAAATTACGACTTATTCCAATTTTTGTATAATCATTGTAAATAATTCTTATAAATCAAGGCGCAAAATTTCTATTTGGTGAATTAGAGAAAACTTTTTCCGTCGTAAAAATGTAAAAAAATTGTATCAGATCTAGATTATGAGCGCAAAAATTTTTGCACTGCTTCTCCAAGTTATGTGCATGATAGAATATTTTGTTAACTTGTTGCTTCAGTGCCATGGGATATCAAATAAAATGATATTGTAAATTATTCGATTTGTTAATAATTACTTGACCAAATGAATAAGTGTAGAGTGAATTTTTTTTCGTTGCCTCTAATAATTTGAGTAAGTAGAATTTCAGTGGATATTTTTCTGATTTTTTATCAAAAGTTTATCGTCTTATTATTTTTTGAATGTTATCTCGAATCGATACTTCCTGAAAAGAGAGGCCTTTTACTGATGGCCTTCTTTTTTTTTCTCCCCCTTTTACAACAACTGCGCATTAATAATCTTCTATTTACGGAACTTTCTGAAAAAAAGGTGTTACCTGCTCTCGATTTATGGTGTGAAGCGATAAATTTGTATTTCATTATTTTCTTCGGTTTCGCTATTTTAAACCTTGCGCAAGTGCGAGCTTTGTTGAATATTCCTGGGAAAACGCGCACACTCGAATCTGACGGCCATCCCGGAGTTGCATTTTTATATCTGAAAAACATAGCGAGCTCTGTAGTTATTATTCCCAAGATAGAAAAACACTAGACTTTTAAATTCTTTTTTTTTAGAAAAGCGATTTGAGAAAAGAAAAAAATTCAATTCAAAAAATCTCAGGGGAAAATTTTTTAAAGAGGAATTATTATTTTTCTTTAGAGACAGAGAGAAAGAGAGAGAGAGAGAGCAGCGGTGAACTATAGTGCTCGTGATGAAAATCTTTAGATGAGATGAAATTTTAGAATTCGTTTTTTTACACTGGAATCATTTATTTTTAAATCAATTTCTCTTTTAGGATTTTGTATATTATTTTCAAGGCTCATCCAGTTTAGATAGAAAAATAGTCAGGTAGGAATTTTCATTGTTTTTTTTTAATTGTCGGTGTATTATTTTTGAATTATTTTATTTGCTTCAATATTTGTTTTCTCTCAATGTTGACAATTTTTTTTTATGTTTTATTATTTTCTCTGTTATTTACTATTTTTATTTATTGAAATATTTTCATTCAACAATATTTTCATTTCAAAATTTTTTTTTATTTTATGGAGTATTAATTTATTTTTTGTTTCCTTCCTTCTATATTTATTTTCATTTATTTTATTTATTTTTGATTTTGTAATTTATTTTCTGTTTTATTTATTTATTCTTGATTTTGTAATTTATTTTCTATTTTATTTATTTTTATTATTTATTTTTAATTATATTATTTATATTTCTCGTTTTCTTTATTTATTTCTTATTTTAATTATTTCTTTGTTTTATTTCTTATTATATTTATTTTATTTTTTTACTTTTTATTTATTTTTACTTCTCATTTCCTATTTTTTTTATTTTTACTTTTCATTTCATATTTTATTTATTTTTACATTTTAGTTTATTTATTTTACTTTTTATTTCTTACTTTATTTATTTTTACTTTTCATTTCGTATTTTATTTTATTTTTTAATTTTTTATGTTATAAAAATCTTCTTTAACAAAATTTTCTTTTTTGTAAAGTATTGAGAAATTTTGTGTCATAATAGTTTTGTAAATCTGTTGAAAAATTTAGTATATTTCTGAGAACTGTAATCAAAAATTTATTTGAAATATTAATTAAGTTTTTTGAAAAAAATGTTTTAGAGCGATGGTTTTGATACGGACGGAAAACTATATTTTCAAAGAAAAAAGTTTGAAAATCCAATCAACTGCGAAAGAGGAAAGAAGTATTTACTCCATCTTCCATGAATTCATTCAGTTTAATGACATCGAATCTATAACGTAAGTTTCTTAAATAATTTATTTTATTATTAATTAAAAACCAAACTATCATTAAAAAATTACTGTTTTCTAAAAAATCAAAGTTTCCTTGAAAATTTTTATTTTATTTCTTCTGCAAAAAATTTGTCTGAATTCAAGAAAATGGGCCTAATAAAAATAAATTAAAAATAAAAAGAGTAGGAAAAGGAAATTAGAAATAATTTTTTTAATTTAAGAAAATAAGTAGAAAAATAAAAAGGAAAGAGAAAGAAAAAGTTTAGAAGGGAACGAAAGGTCATGAAGCAAAAATGAAAAGAAAAAATAAAGAAAAAGTTTAAGTAAACTCAAAAAATAGTTTAGAACTTGAAAAGAATTTTTTTTTTTTGATCTTTTATCAGATAACATAAAAAATTTATCATTTTCTCTCTTCACAGATATCCTGGAAGGTTGGAGTTAAAAGATCGTGAAACCCATTAAGGAAGCTTACAGGACACTTGACCGAGTTAGAGAGATCCATTCAAACTTCCAGTTGTTTCAAAGATGAGTTAAAACCGTTTCGTTAAGAAGCTTTAAAAGTAAATATGTTCGGACTTTTTTGAAAAGCAAAAAAGAAAAAAAAAGGTTCCCAAAAAAAATAGCGAAAAGAAATGAGTAAACTTAACCGACAAAAGGGAAGATAGCGTAAGGAGAATTTTTTCCTCTCCCCACCTTATATATACTCTTTTTAAAAAGAGTGCGGAGAGGAAATGGAACACTTTGAAATTGATGTCCGAAAAAAGGAAGCAGAATGGACAAAAGATTCGAAAAACGAATCTCATGGCGAGATAAAGAATGGGAATGATGCGGGCGAATTGAATGTGGAAGAATGTAATAAAGAGGAAAATGCCGAAAGCTCCGAAAGCGATGCGGAAACGGAACCAGCCCGTAGTTTTCATCGCAAGCTCAGTACCAACAAAGAGATCAAAGACCCGGTGAGTTCTACTTTATCATTCATTTTCTTTTTTTTCTTTTCTTTTTTTCTTCCTTTTTCATTCGAACCCAACATTTTTTTTCAATAGATTGCGATTCATTAAAATTATACTCAAAATGAATTCTATTCTATTCATCATGCAAAATAATTTGATACTTTCTTCATTTTTCTTTTCTTTTTGTATTTCTTATTTTTTGCTCTTTGTTATTTTGATGAAACAAAATAAATTTTATTGATAAAATTGAATTCTCTCGAAGAATTTTATCAAAATTTTTGAAAATTAATAATTTAATTCTTTCGAGAAATTTCATTAAAATTGTATTAAAAATATTTGAATTCTCATGAAGAGTTTTCATAGAAATTTCTTTGAATTTTTTGAAAATAATAATGGAGTTTATTTTCGATAATTTTAATTGAAATTTTTTGTAGTAATTGGATTTTTTAAAGAATTTTGTTTCCAGTTTTTAGAATAATCGTGTTTGTTAATAACTGTAATTAAACATTTGATTATTAAATTTTATTAAAATTTTTAGAAAAAAATTGAATTTTTTACAGAATTTTATTACAATTTTTAGAAAATAAATGTATTCATTCAAAGAATTTTTTTTATAATATTAAAAATATTTTGATTCTTTCGAGAAATTTCATTAAAATTGTATTAAAAATATTTGAATTCTCGTGAAAAGCTTTCAGAGAAATTTCTTTGAATTATTTGAAAATAATAATGGAGTTTATTTTAAATAATTTTAATTGAAAATTTTGGAAGTAATTGAATTTTTTAAAGAATTTTGTTTCAAATTTTTAAAGCAATTGTGTTTGTTAATAATTGTAATTAAGTATTTAATTATTTAATTTTATGAAAATTTTTTGGATAATACTTGAATTTTTTCTAGAATTTTATTACAATTCTTTGAGAACAATTGAATTCATTCAAGGAATTTTATTATAATATTGAAATTATTTGAATTCTTTACATGAATTTCTTTAAATTTTTAAATATAATCGATTTCGTTAATAATTCTAATTAATAATTTTATAATTAAATTTTATTAAAATTATTGATAGAAAATTAAATTATATTGAATCATTTTATTATAGTTTCCATAAATAATTCAATTCTTTCGAAGAATTTCTTTAAGTTTTTCTAAAATAATAGCTTTTTTAAATAATTTTCATTAAAAATTATAAAAACAATTGAATTTTACGAAGACTTTTTTAAAACTTTTTTAAATAATCGTTTATATTATTAATTGTAACTTGAAATTTGATTTTTAAATTTTATGACATTTTTTTTGGGGAAAATAATTAAATTCTATCCAGAATTTTATAAAAGTTCTACTGAAAATAATTAAATTCTTTGGAGAAATTAAAAAAAAATTCTACTGAAAATAATTGAATTCATACGAAACAATTTATTATTTTAGAAAATAATTGATTTCTTATAAAAAATGTTATCAAAACTTTTGAGAATAATGGAATTATTTAGAAAATTTTAATTACAGTCTTTAAAAATAATTGAATTCTTTCGAGAAATTTTATTAAAATTGTATTGAAAATAATTGAATTCCTGAGACAAATTATATTATTTATTAAAAAAATAATTAAATTCTGTATTTTTTTAATTCCTAATTTTTTTAAATTTAATAATTTATTTATTTAAATCATAACTGTTAATTGCAAGAGTCATTAAAAGAATTATATAAAAAATAATGCAAATAATTTTATTATTTTTTTTATTATCGATTTTTATTAAAAATGAAAACTGACAGAAATAGAAATGTTTTTCTTATTGTTTTTTCTATTTAAATAGAATATTTATATTTTTAGTATTTATTTATAGTAAACGGAGTTACAAAGTAAAACTTTCTTTCATTAAAAAAAACTAGGTAACAAAAAAAAAATTTTGATTGTGTTAGTTTTTATTGGAACATCCATGCGTCAATGTTGCTTTTTCAAACGCATTTTAACTTTGAAGTTCAAATGTCAAAAAAATTAGAAATCAGCGAAAGGTTAAAAAAAAATTGGAAAAAAGGGTTGGAAAAATTTGCTAAAAATTCCCTTTATTTGAAATAACTTTTCACAATAAAACATTTTTTTAAAATATTCATCCTTTTAAAAAGAAAATGTTGAAAAAATTAAAATTTTTTTAAATGTATAAAATGATAAATGAAACGACAGTCATTTTTGCTTTTTAATTAAAATTTAATTCAATTTTAACAAAAAATTCTAAAAGGGGTAGAAAATCAGGAAATAATTCTCATTTTGTTAAAAGATAGAATTTTGGACTTAAATAAACATAATTTTGCTTTTTAATTATTAACGGAAAATCCAAAAATGAGCAGAAATCCTAAAAAAAAGTAGGAAATCAGAAAAAAAATTTTTTTGTTAAAAGATAGAATTTTGGACTTAAATAAACATAATTTTGCTTTTTAATTATTAACAAAAAATCCTAAAAGGAGCAGAAAATGAGGAAAAAATTTTTCTTTGTTAAAAGATAGAATTTTGGACTTAAATAAACATAATTTTGCTTTTTAATTATTAACAAAAAACGCTAAAAAAAACAGAAAATGAGGAAATATTATTTTGTTTGCTAAAAGAGAGAATTTTTGACTTAAGTAAACATTATAAGACTCGGTGAATACATAAAAATGCGAGTAAATATTGTTCTAGAGAAATTAAAAGAGACTAAAAAGAATTCAGAAAATCTAGTGCACACACGCGAATAAGAGAAAGAATTATTTTTTAATTAAAAAATCTTTATTAGAAGGAATTTTTTGAATAAATAATTTGAAATTAAGATTTATCAAGACTTTATTAGTGAAATGTGAGAATGGAAAAATCGACTACTTATAAATATGCAATGAGAAATGGAAATATTCTGGAGAATATTCTATTGTTGGCGCGGGAGTATCGCTTAAGAATGAGGATAGTGGAGTTTTTTTTTTTTTTTTTTTTTTTTTTTTTCTTGCAGAAGGGAAGGGGTTTATTTCACATCTATACACCTTTTATTTGAGGCCTTTATGCGGATGGGAGGATTTTCATTAAGACTGCACTTGGCCCATTTCTCGTCGTCTTCCCAATGTACACTCATATACATATATAACGAAGTGTTCCACGTCTCAAAATGAGGGCGCAAACTGAATTTCTAGAGCGTGATGATCTCTCAAGTCCAAATGTTTTTTTTTATTTTTCTTTTTTTTTTGACATTCACTCTAAAAAATTAGTTTCTATTCAAAATATTCTCTCTCCATAAACAAGACGCTTTTTCCATTTATTTTCCTCTCAAGTATTTCGAAAATTGTCCGCAAAAATGCTTTCTTTTGTGGTTGCGCTTTTTCTTGAATTTTTTTTTCAGAAGAGGGAATTTATTCTATGTTAATTTATTTATTTTTTGAAGAATTTATAAAAAAAAAGAATTTTTTTTATTCTTAATTTTTCATATTCAACAAAAATAATAAGAAATATTATATATTATTATATATTTAATTAATTATTAAAAATAATGGATTTATAGAAGAATTTCAGTTAAAAACACTAAAAAATTTTAACTTTTGAGAATTTACAAATGATTGCAGAAATTCAATTATTTTTTAAAAAAGTAATAAAATTCTTTACAGAATTTTCAAAAATTAAAAAAAAAATTCTCGTCGAAAATTGAATTATCTTTAATATATGAATAATAAAATTCTTGTAAAAGTTTCAATTATTTTTGAAAAGTTTCCTCAATTCAATGATTTTCAATACCTACTGTTTTAATAAAGTTTTACAAAAGAATTCAATTATTAAAAAAAAATTGTTGATAAAATTCTACGCAAACGTTTAATTATTTTCATAAATAATAAAAATTTCACATGAATTTAATTATTTACATACCTAATTTTTAAAAATTTCTTCGCAATAATTAAATTATTTTCATAAATAATTTCGAATTCATAAATAATAAAAATTTCACAGGAATTTAATTATTTACAAAATTTTTATCAATTTCTTCGCAATAATTAAATTCTTTTCATAAATAATAAATTTTTTTTTAAAATGATTCAATTATTTTAATAAATAATAAAATTCTTTCGTATGAATTCACTTATTTTCAGTAGAATTTTTATAAAATTCTGGAAAGAATTCAATTTTTTTTAAAAAAAAATGTCATAAAATTCAAAAAAATTTTCAAACAAAACTTAAAAAAATTCTTCAAAACAATTGAATTATTTACGAAACGTCTAAAAAAATGCTGAAATAAAATAAATTCAAGTATTTTCTAAAAATTCAATGAAATTTTTAATAAAATTCTTCACTGGTATTTAACTATTTTCAATACAATTTTCATGAAATTTCGCGAAAAAATTCAATTATTTAAAAAAATTATAATAAAATTTTGCACAAGAATTTAATTATTTAAAAAAATGTTGAATAAAATACTACGCAAAACATTTAAATTATTTTCATAAATATAATAAAAATTTCACTGGAATTCAATTATTTACAAACTTTTTATAAATTTCTACGCAATAATTCAATTATTTTCATAAATAATACATTTTTTACAAGGATTTAATTATTTTCAAAAATAATAAAACTTATAGCAGAATTTGAATTATTTTTAATACATTTTTAACAGGAATTGTTAAAAAAATGTAATTATTTTAAAATATTTTATTAAAATTTGTCGAAAGAATTCAATTATTTAAAAATTTGTTAATGAAATTTTATTTAATTTATTCAATTCAATTTTAAGAAACATTCAATTATTCACTAAATTATTTATTTTTATATTTAAATAGATAATTGAATTTTGAAATGATTTTAAATTAAAATGTTGGAAAATCTGATTTTTTTCATACTTTTAATTAACAATTCTGTAGAATTAAATAAACTTTTCTTTTTTTTTAAATAACTGAATTCTCAAAATTATTAAAAATTTAAGTTAAGTAATTAATTAATTAATTAATTTAAGTTAAGAATTTAAGTTAAGAATTTAAGTTAAAAATTCTAAGAAATCAT